CCGTAAGGTGAATCAGAAAAAGTCTCACAGAAACTGATTTCCGCTCCGACATCTGGGGACTACACGATCTTTACTTCATAAAAAAGATCGATACATGTTCAGCTAATCAGCGGGAGTTCGTAGCTCATAACCCCGCAAGAGTCCTGTGATCGGGGTCGTAATTCGGCACTTGTTCCGTCTGAGCGTATTGATCAGTTCCGCCGTAATGAGATTTGGTACGCGAGTGGTGGCACGGCCATCACGTGATCGCACTACACCAATAAGGTACCCGCATTTCGTGTCGCCATGGTTTCATTCAGCAGAGGAAAACAGACCCGGAAGTCCTTAAAAGTGAGCAGAAATGAGCTGAAACAGCGCTATTCACATCGCCGTGTCCATGAAACATGATGAGACAAATAGACAATAAGATGAACTAAGCAAAAATGTCTTAAAACACATTTGATTCAATACCTGGGCATAACCGACGTATTATTACATTGACAACATAGCTGTCCAGTACGGAATACGAGAACGGCCATGTATTTATTTTTTTTTTTTTTGTGTGTGCACTGTTATCTCGTGATAACGACTTATTATTTCGTTATCTCGATATAACAAAGATTGTTTTCCCGTGATAATTGTCAAGTCTGATGATTGCGCACTGGTTAATGTGATCGTCTTGATTTCAGCCTACAAGAGCTGCCGTGGTCCTGCTAGATGTCTCCTGCTGCTGCTGTTATCATTAGTCACACTTCTACTGTTATTATACACATATGATTATTGTCACATACCGTAGGCTATATTTCCAAATAGTCGCCGGTGGCATACAGTCGCCACCGGGCGACATACTCATTTACATCACCAAGCGGGGACAACTTCCACCTTTCTGCTCCAACACTGACTGACAGCTGACTCCACTCATTCACACACACCACTGCCCCAGGGCCGCTACCATATGCTATTTACAGAGATAGCACTGGCGATCTGAACCGGTCAGTGGCGAAAAAAGCACTTTTATATGGGACGCATTTGCCCCCATTACCATTTTAGCTTGTTTACCCATGAATCATACGCACACATACACATGGGGAAATAGAGCCCAGGTTGAAAAATACCGAAGTTGTCCTTTAAAGCGCAAACAGTCCCTCGGCCCTGTAGGCAGGGAGAGAGCAGCCCTCGCGAGCTGCTCTCTCCCTGCCTACAGGGCTGTCCCTCCTTGAGGCAATGAATGAGGAAATAATCACCCGCGTTTAATACGCAAAATGGGGTCAAACCCCCGGCGGCTATTAGGTGCCCCGCGACTGTATGCCACCGGCGACTATTTGGAAATATAGCCTACGGTATGTGACAATAATCATATGTGTATAATAACAGTAGAAGTGTGACTAATGATAACAGCAGCAGCAGGAGGCATCTAGCAGGACCACGGCAGCTCTTGTAGGCAGAAATCAAGACGATCACATTAACCAGTGCGCAATTGTCTATTTGTCTCATTGTGTTTCATGGACACGGCGATGTGAATAGCGCTGTTTCAGCTCATTTCTGCTCACTTTTGAGGACTTCCGGGTCTGTTTTCCTCTGCTGAATGAAACCATGGCGACACGAAATGCGGGTACCTTATTGGTGTAGCGCGATCACGTGACGGCCGTGCCACCACTCGCGTACCAAATCTCATTACGCTCAGGCGGAACTGATCAATACGCTCAGACGGAACAAATGCCGAATTACGACCCCGATCACAGGACTCTTGCGGGGTTATGAGCTACGAACTCCCGCTGATTAGCTGAACATGTATCAATCTTTTTTATGAAGTAAAGATTGTGTAGTCCCCAGATGTCGGAACGAGATGAAAGGATAACTGTGTTCACCTTACGGCCTATGATCACCTGTAACGTTTCCTAGCTAGAAAAAACATCAGCTAATTCCTACCTAACAACATAAACAGTGACCTACGATTAAATGCAGCAAAAATGAGGACTGGTAATGATAATAATGTGTTGGTACTGAGTGGTAGAAGTTAAGAAATGTGCCACATATCTTGGTTTAAGCCAGGTACTTACACCATATCATCCACTCTGGAGGGCAGTTCATTACTCTGTGCAGATAGAGCACTCAGAGCCCGAGTCGGGGAAAGGTGGGAGAGATGGGGTGGTATTTTTGCTGTTAAAATATTACGTTTCAGCGAAGTACTGTATGGTTTTGACACTTTTCTAGCTTGTTAAAAAAGGAAAAATCTCTCCCCCAAAAATGGGCTAGAAACGCCTATGCCACAAGCCGAGTGACACCTAGTTCCATTATATTTGCAAGAAGGCAGATATCTCTATGGCCGATATCTCCAACACTCTGCAACTCACAACAAAACAATCTAGACTGACAAGCAGCACTACAGGCAAAAAATATGTAATTTTGACTTTGGGGTGAACTGTTCCTTTAAACCTTATTTGCATGCTGAAAACTCCTCTGTTGCATCAGAAGCAGCCACAAATCTAAATCAGAGTTTCCTCAAAAAATGTAATCACAGAATACTCCAGAACTCAGACACTGTTATTTTCTGCTGACAAATAAAAAGTGGCGCAAGTAAAGCAGTCACTGTTTTTGACTATGCCTGCCTTTAGGTAAACTTTTGAAACAACTGGTTTACTGCCTTACCCATTATGCCATTTCAAAAGTTGCTGCATTTTATGGCTCCTGTGCTCTTGAACTCATGAAACAAACCCGCCCATTGTTTGAACACAATTGACCCAAAGCATTCTGCAGCACTTCCAAAGAAGTGTCATCTTAGGATGTACAAACCATTTCACTCTCACTTAGCATGTACACTTCCCTGGAAATGAGACTCTAAATAATGACGCTGCCTCTCAGGAAATTTCTTGGAGGCTCCTGTTTTATTATAGGTTTTCCAAGGAATGGCACGTGTGACTCTTTAAACACCTCCTTGTGCCCTCTGTAAAGATCTTAGCTGGTCTTGACTAATGGTGTAATTTTCAGGGTGTCAAATGTCAGTATACATCACTTCAGTGGCGGCTCCTGCCAAATTTCTCAGGGGGGGCAATTGTTGTGATGATGGCTGAGGTGACCCGTTCAGTGGGTAAATTTGAATTAATTTGGCTCTACAATGACTGAACAATCCACTGTGGTCATCAACAGACTACTTTTCATCAGTTTGCCCACATAAATACCTTTGAATGTAAACAGAGACCTGTTTTACCATTAATCAAATAAAACTTTGTTAGGTATTCACTGAGTCATTGTCAGTCTTAATTAGAAAACATTTTATTATATCTAAGTGGAAATTCATTTTGTGTTCTGATTAAATGCAGGCATACCCTACAACTTAATACAATGCACATCACATGGTATCACTGCTCTTTGACCTGACCTGAATGTTTTTTGTTGTTGTTTTTCAGTTTCAGTTATATATTGGGGGGCATTTTGGGCATTGGGGCACGTGTCCCCCTCAATGTATATGGTGACTACGGCCCTGTCAGCATGCATAATTAAGCTGCAGTTGTCTGGGTGCGCAAAGGTGAAGTGTGCTAGTCTTGTCATACAAAGTTTGATGGAGTGTCAACTGGACAATATGGAGATATTTGCATCTTGAAAGCTGGACTACAAATGTGGATAGACAGGGAGAAACACAAGCCTAAGACGTGGTAAGATACGATATTCCTCACTATATGAAGTGACTGATAACAAGATCTGTATAATGACAGCACAATGATGTGTGTGATCACTGGAAAGCTCCGGTCCTGCGCTCCAGTTCCGCTGTTTCACCTGATGTGTGGCTTCTCGCTAATGGTCGCGGAGAATATCCATAGAGAAGAACGGGTGTGAATTTGGATGCACTATGCGTCGTTACTTTATAACCTATATGGTTAAAAAGCCTCTTGGATCAGCTGGAAACGTTAGTCATGTTGATCTTGGATGTGACCGCTGTGCAGTGGCGCTGCCTCATGTAATGTCAGAATAATCGGAAAAATGAGTTTCCGACCGTAAAGCAATATTTCAGTGGAAATGGTTGACGACGTGTTTTGTAAACATTTTGAGTGATAAAATACAACACATCTTCTTTGTAATGTCCATGTTGTCTCCACATTAGGACTTAAACGCTCATGAACACATAATGAAGTAAGAACGACTTCCCAACTTGGGAAATCGGACCATCTGAGGAGCATATGAATGATACTTGGTGGTTTACGTATGACGAAAACACGTTGGGGCAAGCCCTCCCGGAACCTATAGAGATTGCATTGGAGTGTCTGCATTTAGAAAAAAAAAGCATTTTACATGGAAGTCTATGAGAGTGAGTCGGGGCGATTTCCAGCCAGGCTGATATCGCCCCAAAGGGCTGGAACGTGACTTCACACTGCCTCTGATTGGATATTCAGAGGCAGGACGAGCTGTTTCAAGTGAAAATGATCAGAATAATTAATATATTGTGTGTATATATGACAATAATGATGATGATAATCATACATTTATTATCATCATCTTTCTTTTCTTTTGTGGCTCAAGGAGGGGCGGCGCCCTATTGCCCTCTATTGGCCAGCTGCCCCTGCATCACTTTATGGTTTGGAATTTTCTGTGACACAGTGTTGACAAATAGCAAAAAGCCACAACAAACTCACACACAGGCACTCATCCCCCTGTGTAGTAAGATTAAACCATACTCATACATCCTGTAACCTGCCATGCACACACGCACACACAAACACACACACACACCCATGTGATGTCAAACCCAAACAACTTGTGTATCAATACTCAAACCTCCATCACAACTTCCACCCACATAAAAAAACACACCTGATATGCCTCAATCTTGGAAGCAACTCGTCCGTGGTCGATGACCTGCGAGGGCAGGAAGTGAAACTGAATGTCGGGATGTGTGACATGTGGCCGACTGCGGATGAACCCTCCACTCTCCAAGTGGGCTGTTGCTCCGTAACCTGGGGGACAGGTGTCATTAGTAGAGAGAAGATGGTGGGACACGGTGTCATCAGGCAGGCAGTGTCTGTCTTACGTAACTCATACACAGATTACACATACTTCACACACACACACACACACACACACACACACACACACACACACACACACTCTTGTATTGGCAAACTGTGTGTTGTGATATTTCAATCTCTGTCTTGTCTTGTCTTGTCTGCTGGTGTATCTGATGAGTTGCCAGTGGGGTGTCATAGGTCATGTTATTAGTTTGTGTTAGTGATTGTGAAATCAAGCCTGGCCTGGGCAGCATTTTCTGCCATGATCACTTGTACCGAGCCCACCCACCAGCCCACAATCCATCATCTGTGCCAGTTACCATCCAAATCTACCAAATGCTTTGTGAGTCCTGATAAAGAAAGCTCTATAAAAAAGATCCCATCAAATACTGTAAACAGCTGGCTCTCTGCCCTGTATAATTACTGTGTATTAAGACATACCCGCCTGCAGACTTTGAAAAGAACCAGCGCTGCAGGTCGGCACACCCTGCGAACAAGTCGGTAGATTTAATTTACTTTCGACTGGTAACGTTAGCAGTGACCAACCTGAAGCTTTCCTTGATTCTGGCTGGTTATTATTTCGTTTTTGCATTCATCAAACTCCATTTACTCTATGTTTTAAGACACTGAATTTATATAAACCCATGCGTGTGATAAAAGGCATTGATTAAGGGAGTTTTACTTGAAGTTCAGTGATATAAACCCACAGAAATTCACTATTTTTGTACATTTGGGAGAACATGTGTGTTGCCATATGCATATATGGGTGCCTTTTAGCCCTTTGCCATACAGGTGTGCTGACTGGTATGGATCGATTGGGTATGACTTGACATGTCAGCTCAGTGCCAATCTGGAAATCCATCGGTAAAAAAAAAAACAAAACAAAACAACTTTTTTTTCTCCTTCCTACAATGTAAAGTGCAGAATCTGTCTTGAGAGATTAGCTCAGTGCTGACATGCAGGGATTTGCATTTCCATACCATGCAGCTGCCTGATTAAAGGTGTATCTGATGGCACACTTGTCTTAAGTCCTCTTAAACACCATTTACCACTGCACTGTGCAATGGTTGTTGGTAGCCAGCTGCTTGTCATCATGGGTTTTCAGGTTGTTGATAGGATACTGCTTGGCATCTACCATTTTTTGTTTGAAAAATAGAGACACAATGACAAAATGGATCTAGATGAAGAGGAGGAAGCTAAGTTGACACTGAACTATCCCTGTATGATGAAGAAGCCCATCCAATATTTTCGCAACCCGCTTGGAGGTGGTTGAGCATATTCTAATCTCTAATATCTCTCTTGATAGGGTCCATCCAGGGTGTGACTCAAGAGCAGCTCAGGATGTTTAAACTGATAATGGAAATGCAAATGGTATGACTCAGGATGGCCAGAGGTGCCAATGGAAAAGTTTTATTTGGTTACCGGTGAACATTGTGAGCCACTCCAGGCCTATCTTGACCATGTGGAAAGGTTTCTGGGCCTTGTACAGGGTGATGGGCTGAGTGCACTGCTGCTGGACGTACAGCTCCAAATGATCCTGCAGGTTACTGCCAACACCTGAGAAACAACAGAGACAAGAGAGGACGACAGAGAGAGCCATGAATACCAGTCATTATAATACAATACACTCCATGCCTGGTCTGTTTTAAAGAATGAAACAGGAGGAAATGAATCAATCAGTCTGTGCTTGATGTGTTTAAAGGGATACTTTGCTGATATTCAACCATGCCTGTGTCACCGTGGTGTAGGGAGTGTGTGCAGATTAACAGTGTATGGCTCTCCCCTGTGGATGATGCAAAAGTTCTGCAACCTCACTGCTACACACTAGCTTTTTAAATGCCTACATGGTTTCAAAAAAACCTCTCTTGATGCACAACATGTACCTGGTAAGTGCTGAACTACAGGGATGCTGAGTTGTTTCAGGTCATCAGCGTTTCCTACCCCAGACAGCATGAGAAGCTGAGGGGAGTTGATGGCTCCGCCACTTAATATCACCTCTTTTCCTGCAAACGCCTGAAGAGAGACCAAAAGAACCAATGAGGGAATCATTGAGAGTCTACACCCATGCTAGCAGCAATGTGATCACCAGTAGGTACAGCAGTGCTAAGATATAGATGCTAATGCCAGCATGCTAACATGCTCACAATGCCAATTATAACATGGAAAAATCACCCTTATGGTGGTGCAAGAGGATGAGTCAGGTGGTCGTCAAAGTCATTTGAATATCATCTGGGTCGATTTTCACTGGATTAGTAAAATTTCTGACCTGCTAGCTGCAATAGATTAAAAATCAGGAGATTACCAGAGTCATTGTGATTCATCCTCTGGGCAACATCGACATTTGTGCCAAATTTCATGGCAATCCACTAAAAAATTGTTAAGATAGGTCACAAAACAAAAGATATCAACATCATGGTGCCAACAGAAAAGGTCAGGAGATTGCCAAAGTCACAAGAATTCATACTCTGTACAACATTGACCCATCCATCCAGTGGTTATTGAGATATTTCAGTGTGAACCAAAATAATGGACTTACAGACCAACATTGCCGGAGCAGCTAGTATTGCTATAAAAATCTGCAAACAATAAGACATGAGTAGTGGGTGAAAGGTTAATTAAAAGGTCTGATCAAAAAAGATCATCTAAACTTTGTGTTTCTTTTTGTATTTCATTAATATCACCTTTCACAACATAATTTGTCCATCCATCTTACACGTTTCTTTTGTCCTTTCTGTGTGTATTCCACACCCACAGCACGGTTGCCATCAAACAGGATCTTGGTAGTCAGGCAGCGCACCTCTGTCTTAAGGTTGGGTCGACCCAGGACAGGTCTCAGGTAGGCACTGGCTGTGCTCCACCTCTTTCCTGGACAGATTTGGGAAGTGGGATGTCAACAATATTAAACAGCTGGTTCAGTAAACGTGTAAATACTGCATTGCAGTTACAAGTAGTCCTGTTTTTTTTTTTTTTTTTTTATAGTAGTTCCTTTTTCCTTTAACCTTTATAAATGGTCATGTCCATCCAGCCCAAGCCCTCCTGTTGATGTCCGTTCATGTCATCAGTGAAGGGGTATCCCGCCTGCTGCCCTGCCTCAATAAAAGCTTTGTGAAGGGGATGGTTGGTCTTCCCTCTGGACACATGAAGAGGTCCGCTGCCTCCCCGGTACCTACACAAGAAACACATATTTAATGTGTCACAAAGATGTGAGCAGGTGCATTAAAACTGCAACAATCTTTCAATGGAAATGATCAATAGTGAAACTACATTAATCATGTTATTATCAGCAGGGCTATTCTTAGACAGCTGAGTACATACCTGTAGATATGAGATAACTCAGATTATTTCCTTTCATTTACCTTTATGCCAACAGTCATCTTGTCAGAGGGTCTGAATACATAAAGCTGATAAGGTCTCCACAAAGGTTAAGTAACATAAATGTCCTGAGACACTTCAAGCTGTATCTACATATTTCTAAAATCTATCAGATCAAAATCAATCCTCAGAACTGTTTAATATGAACCTTTGACACATAAAAACAGAATAATGTGAAAATGTGTTCACTGCCATATCAGCCAACTTCCAGTTCCTGCACGTAGACACTGCACCAGTGCAAAGCGAGCCAATTTAACAAAACAAGTCTTTTCATCACCAAGGTTAAAGTAACCTATTGCTAGATGGATGATACAAATGTTAAACCTTTACATTTACTGTTTTTTAAAACAAAAACATGAAGTGTTTTGCACCTTAACAACTTCTGAATACTGATAACAACAATCAGGCTTGGCATATCAATGTGTTTGTCTTGTTGCTAAGCTTTAACACAAACAAGTAGACAAGATTTGGTGATGCGGTACTCGGTGAAAGCATTATGTAAATCTAAAACTGCAGGATAAGCTTCCCGAGGAATTCCAGTCTCTGATAAATTACACTATAAATCTGACTTCACTGTTTTTTATTGTAACACATACGGACACGTGCATCAGTTCTGCCTGTCATATCTACTTCCTGGAATGATATATTTGTTTTAAGACCACACAAGTCTTTATCATTAACAAGCATGTTATTATCTGAGCTGAACATCTACCCTATCATTTGCATGTGCTTCCCCATTTCGCAGATTCTTGTGCTAAAATTAGACTGGTGACGTACTTTATTTAACCTTTGATGTTTGCGTTTGCTAGGTTCTGTGTGGTAAGATCTTCACTCTGCCACTGCACATTTACATTACATTACATAACATTTACTACCAGGATGCATTTTGAGGCCTGTTAAGGCAGTGGGACTGAAGCAGTAGCTTCAAATGATTTGATCAAGGGCCTCGGATTGAAAAAAAAAACCCCAGAGATGTCCTGGAGTTATTTTTGTGAGGTACCTGTTTTCTCCCAGCTCATGGCACTGAGCTTTCCTGAAGTAAGGCAGGCAGTGATCGTAGTCCCAGCCCTCTGCCCCCTCTCTCTGCCAGCGGTTGTAGTCCTCAGCATGTCCACGAATGTACACCATGGCGTTGAGTGAAGAGGACCCGCCCCAGACACGGCCCCTTGGCCAGTACATTACCCGGTTGTCCATGTGGGCCTGAGGTAATGTGTGGTAGTACCAGTTATACCTGAGGCGGAAAATGAAAAGAAATACAGCACAACGTCACAATGGAATAAATATCTGTGCCTTAGAATGAGCCGTTTATGTCTATATAGGGAGCGGGTCCTTGTCTATGGCGTCCGCCATGTTGTTCTACAGTAGCCCAGACAAAACACTGACTCTAGATTAGGTCATTCACATTTTCATGTCTAGTTTTCCTACATGCTCAGCACACAGGAGAAGTTTCAGTTCTGCAACCTCACTGCTTGATGTCACTAAATCCTACACACAGGACTTTTAATGGACTAAAATAACATAAAATCATATTTTTTTTGCATTTTTTTTTTTTTTTTACATTGACAGGACGGATTTCTTTTTTATGTTTGCAATAACTGTTAGTTGAGTAAACTGTATGACAGCATTTTGCAGTGTTTTCAAGAGGTGACATGCCAGTGGAAAAGCAGTGTCAGAAATTAGCAAGGGCCACGGGCCATTTGGCCCGCAATTCATCCAAGAATGCCCCCAAAAGCCATGTTCCAGGGGCCAAAATTGCCCCCAAGTTTTCCGAAACAACTATATGTATTTATATTTTTAATGGTATTACAATCTGACATTAAAGTATAATTTTATTTTCATTAAATTAATTTACCGTCATGTCTACAACTCATTTTCCAGACATAATCAACGAGATTGCACTGATTACGTGAGAGTAATCTCACAGAGAAGGGGAGGGGCCTTTGCTGTACCATAAGTATAAATTAACCATTTCTTGGGTGATCTGTGTCTACACAATGACAAATTAATGAAAAATTAAGGTAGAATGAATGTTAAATTTTAAATTAACTTACTTCCGGGATTGCATCTAAAGAATTTATAGTAATTTGGCCTTTTTAACAGTAAAAGTAACTGTAATGTGGTGAAACATTAGTATTGCTATCAGTAGATTAATGGTTAAATCATCACATTTAAACTGGTTGAATTGTAGGAAATCTGAGTGATATTTTGCAACCATAACTTTATGTAACCCATTATTTGTTTCATTTATAGTGGTTTCTACTGAAGAGTGAAGATAGTATCTTAGTTGATTTTGCTTTTCATGTGCTTATTGTTAGAACATAATTACAATTTTTTGATGGCCCCCAAACATTTTGAAAATGCCCCCATTTTTTAGACCGTGGGGGCCAAAATTGCCCCCAAAATGTTTTGTTAATTTCATACCCTGGAAAAGTCATGTGTAGTAAAGGCAAATTAAATAGTTTCACACATCAGCACCAAAACATTTCAAGTGTAATCATTTTGCTACTGTACTTGTCATCGCAGAGGTTGTAGGTCAGCGCAGCCGGCATGTGGATCTTCCATGAGAGTCGTAAGTTGCCTAGCGTCATGTCCTTAGGCCCGGCCTCCAGCTGCAGCACAGACTCATGGGAATCCTCGCTGAGACGGTTGGCAAGGACGCAGCCCGCTGACCCTGCCCCAATAATGATATAACTGTAGGACGGCGTCTTCTGATTGGCTGTAGGTGATGATGAAGCATTCCAATGAGCAGAGGTGGCACTAAAGCATCTGTAGTGGTTTGAGAAGGAGCAGGAATGGGACTGGCCCGTGTTTCTGGTCCTGGGGAGTAATTCTGGCAAACAGGTAAATGGGCACCTGCCATCCTTCAAAAATCTCCCTCGAGTCACAGTCACAACTCGTCGGGCTCCAATTTGGCCTGACGTGGCCAAAAACAACATCCTGGCCTAGGGAGGGTTTTCTTTATTCACTGTAAAACACAACAACAGGACACATTAGGATGCACCTGAGGGGGCAAGACGAAACGGAGACTCAAACTAGTGTATCTCACTATCTCACTCATCATTGCATCAAGGCAGGGTGGGTCCCACACTGCATGACAAACGTATGAAAAAATGGAGAACATACAAACCACAGACACTCCTCAAAACAATGTGAAATTGAAATCCACATTCCACAATACACACATAAGACAAAGATTCCTCTTCATTCACCTCTATTATTGCCATATACTGTATGTAAGTATATTGAGAAATGTCTTGATAAAATAATCCAAAGGAGATTACAGAGGTGAATTTTATGTGTGGTAATTTTCCCTTGTTTTCTGTTAGAAAATAAACACAAACACTGAGGACACAAAGGAGCTGAAATCAACGTCACCATTTTTACTCAACACTCCTTTTTTTAAACGCGCAATCAAGAGCACAGCTGTGGAGGTATCACCAAACCTCCACAGCTGTGCTCTTGACTGGTCATGCAATAAAACTCCAAGTCTGATCTGTCTGAGACCAAGACAAGACCAAGTAAAAATGTGGTTGAGAGCTTCAAAAAGTGGTTTTGAGACTGAGACTTATCTTGGGTGCTACAACATTGCTCATTTGTGTCCTGTCCTGAATATGCATTGTCGGTTACAGATAGGCTTTTGGTTGACATTTTTAGGGATGCACCGAATATTCAGTAACTGAATATATTCGGCCGAATATTGCAAAAACCACAAGTGAAACACCACCATAAGTGAAAAGCAAGGCCGAATAATAGCGGCGTGTTTTGATAACGCAATCAAACAGCGTGCAGTGATGGAGTAAAATTTCGGCAGTGTGGCGATACTTTACTCCGTCTGTCACTGCACTCGCATTTGCGACTAAAAATAGTTTTGTTTGAGCAAAATAAATCATTCAGCATGCTGTGTGAGTACAGATTTCAACCAGCAGCAGAAACGAAAGGCGAATCCCGCCGGTTGTGGGTTGAACGGGGGTCACAGACACAGACAGGAATGTATTCCTGTCAAATACGGCGGCCATCGGCTTACCGGCGACAGAGAAGTCCGGCTCCAATAATGTCCTCTTCTTGGCGTCATGACTGCTCAAAAGTACCTGGACAGCCGAGTCGTGGCAGCACACAGGTATGTGGCGTGTCTGAGGAGAAACGAGCAGTTCACATTTCCACAAACCTCACCGCACTTAAGGGACTGTGCTTAACTTGTCAGGGGAGGAGGGTGGCTGGTTGATTTTTATTTTATTTATTTATTTTATTTTGATCCCCCCTATGTTAATCACTTATTGATGCTGTTTTTGAAGTATGAATAAGTCAATAAGTAATTTATTCCATTGAAATATCATTGATGCATTATAGATAAGTGATTTATCTTTTTATAAATGACAAAAGGCACATCTGCCTCATTTTTGCTGTGGTATCCTGATACTACTCAGAACCGTGATACTTTCACTGGTATCGTACCGTGGGTCCCAATTTTGGTACCGTGACAACACTAACTGGTGGGGGTTCATCTGCAAAAACTAATGAAATCTAAACAACGGTATTCGGTACTCGGTATTCGGCCAAGCGTTTAATTTTATTCGGCTTCGGCCAAAAATTTTCATTTCGGTGCATCCCTAGACATTTTATCAGCTTTTGGTACTTAAGCCAAACCTTGTCCTTCTCATAGTCTCCGCTTGTGCTTGAACTGAAATTAAAAATTAAAAGTTACCTGCAGTTAAATGAACAACTGGGAATACCTGACCTGAGCCCTGGTTAAACGTCACGGCCCATTCACTGCTGCTGTAGAGAGAGGTTTATGTTTCACCTTTAATGTTTGACTGATCGAGTACCAAATGCTTAATTAGGGAAAAATAGTCTCTTGTGTGTCTGGTTTCTGCTGCAGTCTCACTGATAATGCAGCCTGCTGATATGGCCCCAGTACCATACTGAGTCAGGTTAAAAAAGAAATCTGATAATCTTGTGCAGAGGAGCAACAGGAAAGTGTGTGTGTTTGAGAGAAAGTGTGTATCATGTCTATTATGTGGAAAAGGTCAAAGAGCAAGTGATGCAATTTGATCTTGTTAATATTTTATTTTATGGCTGAAGTGTAGTCCTCTCATTCAGGACAATGCAGTGGTAAATAGGTCAGGACTGTCATGTCAATAAAACCAGCAACTCACAAGCAGTTTCAACGGCAAGCTGAACTCAGCAAACAGCCTCATATGTCATTAAATACCCTCTAAAACTCTGAGACACCCACACATTTACAAGTGGGAAACAGCAGACTGTCTCCAAGTTTTACTGACTTATGTTTTAAGGGTGGACTGAATTAAAAGTTTATGACGAAAGGCCAATTTCGCAACCGTTAGCTTATCAGAGCAACGGTCTGGGTCTATAGGTTTGCTGCTGGACTTGGCTGCATCGTTGGACACATTTCTGCTCTATTAAAACACATTCAAACGCTTTAAGACACGTTTAAAGTGCATTTAATATTGTTAAAGGAGTTAAGCTGATGTTACAACTCGGCTGATACATGTTTCTGGAGTTTGTATCATTACGGTTACGTTTGTTTAGATTTACCGTTTACGTCGTGTGCAGTTTACAGCAGTGTATGGAGTTAACTAACGTTACCTTTACAAACTAACGTTCCGTTTAGTTCAAACCGAAGTCGTGCCAGAGTCGTTTAACAGACGTGAGTAGCTGAATTAAACCACAGAAAAAGGCAGAACTTACCTTTTTTTTTGCTGGGGTCCTGCCAGGTTTCACTTTAAGCGAGACGGTCAAACTAGCCCCAGGTTATTTTGCGCTTCGTGTATGTAGTAGGTATTACGGTAAGAGCGTGTGAGAGCTGATTTCAAAATAAAAGCTACGGTCTGGTGAAGGTGAGGCACTAACATTCAACAAGTCAGTCAGTCTGTTGCTTACATGAATACATAAATAAGATGAAAACAAAAAACATGAATAATATTCATAAACAAAAAGTAAATAAAACACCATGGATAATACTGAATAGTACATGTACTTAATTATAGTTAAAAAAATAATTACTACCACAAGTAAACTATTTCAGTCAAAAATTGAATTACAATTGTGTGAAAAATGAGTCAAACTTCATGATAAAGAATACATTTCCAAAGACAAATCTGACTTTAAAATAACACTGCCTCAGAGTGTAGCTCAGACAATATTAGGATATTCTGATGTAAAATTAAAGCCCTATCAAATGTCATACACTAGCTAATCCCTGTCAGTTAAGGGGAAATGACCCATTACCGCAGACAAATGTGACTTGAGATTGATAGCAGACCACTTTAAAGTGTCTCTCAGACTGTAACACGCCATTTTGATGTAGAGTTTAAAAATAAAAGACCTTTAAAAGCTCACATAAGAGCCATTATCCCTCCAAAATCATATTCTAATTTAAAGGAAAAGGCCACAGACTTATTTCACTTGGAACTGATAGCAGACTACCCCAGAGTGTCATTCCAGGACATTCCGATGTGGATTTTCAAAATTAAAGCCCTCTAAATACTCTAATATTTGCTATGTTCCCTCTCAATTCAGATGGTATGAAAAGGAAACACCCTGCTGCATAGACGAATGTTACTTAAGATTGATAGCAGACCACTTTAGAGTGTCTCTCAGACAGTATCATGCCATTTTGATGTAGAGTTTAAAAATAAAAGCCCTTTAAAAGCTCACATATGAGCCATTATCCCCCCAAATTCATATTCTAATTTAAAGGAAATTACCTGTTGCCACAGACTTATTTCACTTGGGACTGATAGCAGGCTACCCCAGAGTGTCATTTCAGGACATTCTGATGTGGATTTTCAAATTAAAGCCCTCTAAATCCTCTCATATGAGCTATGTTCCTTCTCAGCTCAGATCGTTACATGGGAAGTTGTGAATTCAGTGTTTTGACTGAAACACAGTTTATTACAGTTATTTTTATTTTATCATCATTAATTTCATTATTCATACTTATTTATCTATTTATCATTGACAGACTGACTGACTTACTGAATAATTTAGAAGTTGCCTATTGATAGAAATATCGTTGTTTATGTAGGCTTATAACATTCACCGAAATGTAGCTTTTATTTTGAAGTCCATTCTTACGCGCTCTTACCGTAATGCCGAACCGCAAAACAACACAGTTTGAGGTGGAGACTGGCTTGTGGGCGGGGCTACTTGGGGGTGTTGTCTGTATAAGTTAACACAGAAAAACTGAGAGTTCATTGAACAAGTGCACCCACCGTAGGACTGTAGTTATCCAGATACTGGGGATTGTAAAAGCTCATTTTTCTGTCTACATTTTTTTTGCGGTCCAACCAGGTGTTGGTGCTGCTGATGACGATGGTGATGATGTGGGGTGCCACACTGATTCTCATGTCCTTTGTCGCAGCCCAGGTGACATCACAAGAAATTGTAAGTTAAAGACTTTGGCGACTGAGCCATTACTTGATTAAGTTAAAATTAAAAGTGATTTAACTGATGTAGCTCATTCTTGGGATTTCTTTGCAGAAAGTGCAGTGTCATGAATTTAATGGTAAGTTATTTTTCATTCATATTCTTGATGAGATGAGACTTTGATGCCAATATCATGTTGTTTGAGCCTACAATAGGGTTTGGTCAAAAACAGAGATGCAGGGACCAGTCTTTTAATCTTTTTTGTTCTGTGTGATTCAGTTTTATTCTCCAGAACTTTAAGCTGTATTTTTTTTATTGATATTGAAATCATCAGGCAGAATGACAGTAGTGGAAATTCCATTGCCCCTAAATATAACCCACCAAAATAGCCTAAAGACTAATGAATATAAAGGCATGACTTGATAACAAACACAGTTGCATTACCAATTTTATTATTAGGCTATTATTATTATAATACAATTTGTATTATTATAAAGTGTGAACACCACTGTTGTCTCTTACAGATTTGCCTCCTAGCAGTGGACCCTCTCCTTCTGAGCTGGCAAACCTGACCGTGATGCTGGTGAAAGTAAGAGGAGAAGATATGTTGAACATAAGCTGGGCAGTCAACATTGATGGTAGGTGACAGCACATTTAATATTCATTTCCACATCATTCAACTTATAAAACCACCTAATGTTGTTGACTTTCCAAACACTTCTCTGACTCTTGAACCGATCATTCAATATGTCTTTTAAATACAAAAAGTAGCTTACTGGTTATACTGATCATTTGTTAAAACAGCCAGAGTTGTTACACCAATGTTTATCATATGACAGAAGAGATTTGCCAGGAACTCTTGACTTTTTTTTCCATTACAAACAGGACTTTGGTCTGGTTGAGGTGAAACTGCACTAGGCATAAAGCAAAAACGCTTAGGCTAAGCTGAAATAATTTCGCAGGCACACACTCAAAATGTAGGAAGCCCCTAATAGATTTTTAAAACACTGCACCCCAGAAGTACCATTTTTATACAAAATTATTGTCAAAAAATGGGATATTTGTATGACATAGGGGAGGTCATTTTATGTAGAAAATCATAAAAATTAGAATTATGAACATCCTCCGTTAATAGAAACACAAAATACATAAAACACTAAAACCTAGAATTATCAGAAATGTGTATATGTAGCAGAAATGAGACAGGAGACCCCCTGATGATAGAGAGACAGCAAAAACAGGCATTATGTTTGTGGGTTCTGCTGTGGAAATTCTCTGCTGCTGGTGAATAATGAAATAGAGATTTCTGCCGGCCGACAAGGTTTTTATTTTTTTTGCAAAGAAAAGGTCAATCAGCAGACGAGCGGTCAGAATGAAGAAAGACCCAGAGCATGGGGAAGGTTAAACATTTAAACCTGAGGACCGCCTCTTACGGTGTGTTTCACACCCTTCTGTCTGCGGCAGGGAGCGGCGCCCCTACCCATTGTTTTCACACTCTTTCGTCTGCCACAAGTATTGGCTCCGACCCCCTAGGGTGTGTTTCACACCTGGCGTATCCTGCAGGATTTTGTATCTAGGTGGGAGGTTAAGAGGTGTAGACATTTGAAGTATTTGAAAACACAAAGAATAAACAAAGAAAATGAAATTACAATTACAGTTCTCTGTCCATCTGTCCCATTGTCGTGAATGGGATATGTCAAAATCGCTGCAAGAGAATTTCTTCAAATTTGGCACAAACGTCCACTTGGATTTAATGATGAACTGATTCGATTTTGGTGGTCACAGGTCAAAGTCACTGTGATCTTGTATGTCTCAATCTTGAGAAGGCGGTATCTCAAGAACACCTTCAGGGAATTTCCTCAAAATTGGCGTTCATTTGGACTCATTGATGAGCTGATTAGATTTTGGTGGTCAAAGGTCAATGCCATGGTGACCATGCATCTCTCTCATTCTTCTGAATGTGATATGTAAGTGTAGATAAATACATAAGTAAACTGTAAGTGCAACTTTATGCAACTAATATGACACAAAATGGGTATAACAATGGCACATACAATAGAGAGCATTCACTGTGAGAAATAACACTTATTGACATTGCTAAGACTAAGCAACAATAACAAGTAGGTTTGTGTAGGGTTGTGGGTGAGTTATGAGGATACAGTGTTGGTACAGTGGTGTGGCGTTAGAGTTGGCGGGGACTGTGGATTTAACTTAAAAGTGGTGGAGTGTGTTTTTGTGTGTATAAATGTTTGTATGTGTGTGTGGTTGTGGGATATGTTGCTGTGTGGAAGGGTAAACAGGAGAAGGAGGAAGGAGTAAAGGGAAGGAAAGGATGAGAGAACAGTTAGATGGTATATGTAATATATTTACACATACTGTATTTAGTCAGGAAGGATCTCTGACATTTTCTGTCCCTTTGTAGGTAGTCATGAATACCTGACTGGCATTCGGATCGTGATTTCGGGGCAAACACCGTACCATTGTGAATATCACCCGGCTTTTGCCAAGCCATACCTCCGAGGATCCGAGCAGGTATCATGGATAGAATCTTGACTAATTGTTTCTGTGTTGTTTAATTAGCGATTGTCTGCACAGCATGAGTTTAAAATGACAGACCTACCAAAGGGTATGGCAGGTTGAAAGTAAATTCAATGCAATGACTGTAATTTTTTCGATTCTAGAAATGGTTTTATTATTTGGTAAAAGCAAGCTACGGCTTCTATGTCATCCAAGCTGCCAGTCTCCCTCTGGGTCCGCCAGAGAGATTCTCTTACAAGTTTACCATGATCAGTGTACCTCGTCCAGCAAGTAAGCTCATTTTTCATGTCTCACTTTTTGCTCTCATGACGTTTTAATGTGACTGTTGTTTGTAATCCACACTGTGAGATAGTAAACTCAGTACGAGTCAAAAGCATTTAGTTCACATCTCATTTTTTAAGGCTTGTTATCAAAATGTGAAGGATACATGTTATGTAGAAGATAAAAATGTGTTTTGTAATCTCAATTATGGCTGCTATGTTGTTTCCATACAGGCAACAAAAGTATTTAAAAGTTTTAACCTTCTTCTCTGTTTTCTACAGCTGTCAAATCAAAGCATGTTACAGTTCCTACAGGTGAGCAATCTCATTTGCTTGTGCATGTGCATGTACATACTGTATAATGTAACTTACTCTACAACAAAGATGTTGATACTCTGTGTTTAACGAAACTTATTTAAATTTTTCACTGCAGCTGAGATCACCTCAGGTAAGATTCCACGATTACTTAAAACACGGTCAGTATAATTTAAATATAATTACATGAAGGAAAATGAGACGTGTGTTTTGTGTGTGTTTGTGCAGAATCAAGTAAAGTAGCTGTCCACGGTGACGTCAACTTCACCGGCACATTGGTGGCCATTTTCGGAGGACTGGTTGGCTTGATTATCCTGAGTTCCTGCTACATAGTGTGTAAGTACAGGACTTTTTAAATTACATTTAGTTGACAGAGGACCTATAGGCAGAGGTGTGGACCTGAGTCACATGAAAGAAAGCGAGTCAGACTCGAGTCACAAATTTGATGACTTTAGACTTGACTTGACAAAATCAAACACTGTAAGACTTGCAGCTTGACTTGGACTTGAGCCTTTTGACTTGAAACATTTGATACCTTCCCCCAAGCAAAGATTAAAGTCCATCTTCTTCTGTGTGACACAGATCAATTCATTTCCCTTAATTTCCTGAATCAACTAACATAACGCTATTCATTCCCAGCAAGTCGACACTTAATTCACCGGATGATCCGTTCAGTTTGAACCAATGTGACAACATCCAGTATAGTTACAGGAGAGAACCATGATGAACTAATGTTATGTTACTTAACACCAGAATAAACAAGTACAAATTTTATGAAACATTCATGATATTTGTAAAATGTAATATAGTATTACTCTGTTGTTAAAATGGCATTACATTCAGTGAAGAGCGCTTTATGATTGTTTGGAGCTTGAAACTCCAATTTTAGGACCAGGAACTTTACTGGGACTTGAGTGCAAAGACTTGAGACTTACTTGTGACTGCAAAACAACAGCCTGGTCACATCTCTGCCTAAGGCAACAAAATTGCAGATGATGAATGTGAGAAAATGCAGATGCAGGTGTTCACTCACCAATCTTGTTCACATGCTCTGACATGTTCTCAGTTACTATTGAACCATCTTTCTATTGCATTGCAAAGTAGCTCACCTTTAACCACTCTTGTGGCTAAAAGTCTTGTTATCTTGCACAAGAAACATGCTTCCCCTGCTAGATTTGAAACGTGGATTAAAGAAGTGCTGAAATGAAACAAGCTTTGGCTCACCAGAAACAAATTCAGAAATACCTTGATGACAACCACCATGTCCTTCCCTATGTTTGTTACTCTCCAGATAAAAGGTATGGAGCCAGCTTTGCCACCTTATTGGGTTTCAAAAAGTTGCCTACATCTCTTGTGATCCCCATCCCTGTCCTTGTGGTGTACCCTGCTGAAAATTCAGCCTTCCAGCGGGCCATAATAGAGCTGGCTGAGTTCCTGCAGTGGCACGGTGGCTGCAGTGTGGCTGTTGACATGTGGCAGCAGGGGAAGATCGCAGAGCTGGGGCCAATGCGCTGGCTGGCAGAACAAGCTAAAGCTGCGCACAGAGTGCTCATCGTTTGCCCACAGGTAGAAATTGTAAGTTGTGTGGAATAGTTATTTATTTTTTGCTGTATGATGAGGAGTGATTTAAAAAAACACTCTGTTCTCTTCTCTCAGCCTTCATCACAGCCCAGCCACTCTCCTCTTAACCACTCCTTCCCAGAACCCTCCATCCCAGCTGCAGCTCATGACCTTTACCCCCTAATTCTTAATATGGTGGCGAGCCATGCAAAGAGCGCCAGCGACTTGGCTAGGTTCTGGGTGGTGCAGCTGGGTGAGCAGCAGGACAAGAAGCCTTGTAACCTGGCGCCGCAGCTGAGGGCCTGCAAGACTTTTTGGTTGATGAAGGATTTGAATAAGCTGTGCAGGAGTCTTCATACCCAGAGTCAGGATGGCAAGAAGATGTCCAATCTGATCTTCAGACCAACAATTGACTACAGTGAAAAGTGTACAGTGAACATAAGAGAAGCTGTAGAAAAGCTGGGTGGACGTCAGTCAAGCATTTTCAGAGAGGGGGAACCATTGAGATCTGTGGTTGCTGTTGTTTAAACATCTGTAATGAAAATATTTAGATTGATGGATAAAGAGGATGCATCAAAATAGTTGATTGGTGAATAGCTGAGTCTTTAATTGTGCTTTGTAAATTGCATTTTTTATTTATTTTTTTAGAGATGGCATAGACCTATACTCACTTCTTTTTTGTGGAATCGATTTAAGAAATGAGATACTTGTTTGTTATGTGCATCAGGTTTTGTTTCAACATTCGGTGGGACGTATAAGAAGTTAAAGGTCTGTTTTCCTCCAGGAAATTTTGAGAGTCAAACACTTCATTTCCTGCATTCTGGTGAATTTTTTCTCACCAGTTTGTGGTGGAAATGTCTATTTTATGTAAAGAAAAAAAAATCAGCTGACAATTTGAAATAAAAATAAATCTACAATAATGTAATGTAATAAATATAATGGAATGTAATGCATTAAGGTCGTTGGGCATTCTGTTGCTTTCAAATATTTTTCACCTGTAGATCCACTTTTCTTATTTAATGTTATCCCTGCTGCGTCAACACACATGTTGGCATGATTTACTCTTTTCTTCTCCATTGTTTGGGGTAATATCCTCTCTAAATGTGCATGTTGCACCTATTCACATCAATGATACATTATTCATTTTAATAGATATACAGTACAGGCCAAAAGTTTGGACACACCTTCTCATTCAATGCATTTTCTTTATTTTCATGACTATTTACATTGTAGATTCTCACTGAAGGCATCAAAACTATGAATGAACACATGTGGAGTTATGTACTTAACAAAAAAAGGTAAAATAACTGAAAACATGTTTTATATTCTAGTTTCTTCAAAATAGCCACCCTTTGCTCTGATTACTGCTTTGCACACTCTTGGCATTCTCTCCATGAGCTTCAAGAGGTAGTCACCTGAAATGGTTTCCACTTCACAGGTGTGCCTTATCAGGGTTAATTAGTGGAATTTCTTGCTTTATCAATGGGGTTGGGACCATCAGTTGTGTTGTGCAGAAGTCAGGTTAATACACAGCCGACAGCCCTATTGGACAACTGTTAAAATTCATATTATGGCAAGAACCAATCAGCTAACTAAAGAAAAACGAGTGGCCATCATTACTTTAAGAAATGAAGGTCAGTCAGTCCGGAAAATTGCAAAAACTTTAAATGTGTCCCCAAGTGGAGTCGCAAAAACCATCAAGCGCTACAACGAAACTGGCACACATGAGGACCGACCCAGGAAAGGAAGACCAAGAGTCACCTCTGCTTCTGAGGATAAGTTCATCCGAGTCACCAGCCTCAGAAATCGCAAGTTAACAGCAGCTCAGATCAGAGACCAGATGAATGCCACACAGAGTTCTAGCAGCAGACCCATCTCTAGAACAACTGTTAAGAGGAGACTGCGCCAATCAGGCCTTCATGGTCAAATAGCTGCTAGGAAACCACTGCTAAGGAGAGGCAACAAGCAGAAGAGATTTGTTTGGGCCAAGAAACACAAGGAATGGACATTAGACCAGTGGAAATCTGTGCTTTGGACTGATGAGTCCAAATTTGAGATCTTTGGTTCCAACCGCCGTGTCTTTGTGAGACGCAGAAAAGGTGAACGGATGGATTCCACATGCCTGGTTCCCACTGTGAAGCATGGAGGAGGAGGTGTGATGGTGTGGGGGTGTTTTGCTGGTGACACTGTTGGGGATTTATTCAAAATTGAAGGCACACTGAACCAGCATGGCTACCACAGCATCCTGCAGCGACATGCCATCCCATCCGGTTTGCATTTAGTTGGACGATCATTTATTTTTCAACAGGACAATGACCCCAAACACACCTCCAGGCTGTGTAAGGGCTATTTGACCAAGAAGGAGAGTGATGGAGTGCTGCGGCAGATGACCTGGCCTCCACAGTCACCGGACCTGAACCCAATCGAGATGGTTTGGGGTGAGCTGGACCGCAGAGTGAAGGCAAAGGGGCCAACAAGTGCTAAACACCTCTGGGAACTCCTTCAAGACTGTTGGAAAACCATTTCAGGTGACTACCTCTTGAAGCTCATGGAGAGAATGCCAAGAGTGTGCAAAGCAGTAATCAGAGCAAAGGGTGGCTATTTTGAAGAAACTAGAATATAAAACATGTTTTCAGTTATTTCACCTTTTTTTGTTAAGTACATAACTCCACATGTGTTCATTCATAGTTTTGATGCCTTCAGTGAGAATCTACAATGTAAATAGTCATGAAAATAAAGAAAACGCATTGAATGAGAAGGTGTGTCCAAACTTTTGGCCTGTACTGTATATACCCCTGGGCTTTAATAGCTCATATGTGATGTCATGAGAGTGGAAATTTGGACAAGAAGAAACTGTGTCAAGAATTTGGTAAGTTATTGATCGGCTTGTGTATGCACTTTTGTGGACAATGCACATTTATTTCTTCTATATTGACATTGCATTGTATGTTTCCATATGGTGCAAATAAACCTCTCTCAAAGCATTCTCATTTGTTAACATTTCTTGGTGCAAGCTATTTTTCAGAACAATTTATGCTTTTAAGAAATGATGGGGAGAAAATTGGCCATATCAAAAAGTGGTGTGTCCCCAGCGTACAGTGTAAATGACACTTATGGATTAACGGGTATAATGTGTCAGTAGTTGAAGTATCAAATCAAATCAAACCAAATTTATCTGTATAGCACATTTAAAAACAACTGGACTTAAGTGCTGTACAAATTAAAGTGAACGGCTCAAGAATAGTGTGCAAACACAATGACAAAAGCACATATGATCATAATTTAAGATTATTATCATTATTTATTAGAATATGGAGAACATTTCATTTCACAGGAGAAGTCAGATGATACTGGGCTCTCTGCCAAAGCTATAAACTGCAGCAGCATATGTGGCACTATACAGTTACAGTATAGAATACACATTTGTCCAGTAAGGAATTAACTATCCTATTGGGGATAGGCCAGGGGGCCCAGTTGTAGACCAGGGACTCAGTCAAAAGTGGAGACGCCCCAGTTGTTTTTTTGCTTCTCAGTCTGAGAATCACATTTCAACTAAATTCATTGGGGCTGTACTGCTACAACTTTACTTGATCTGGCTAATTTCAGCTGTTGCATTTAGATATTGTTGAAACTGCCATTTGCTGAGTCAGTGTGCTGCCTGTATGACTATTCTCTGCTTGTTCTTCTGTTATGCTCCATTTTAGCATTTACCATTTTACAGCAGGCTACTGTCATTGTGACTTGAGGCCACAGTGGCTGTTGTTCAGCAATAGTTATGCTTTGGTAGTGAGTATCTCAGTAGAGTACAGTTATTATATTTCCTTCATAATATACACATACTTGAGCTACAGTAAGTCTACATGAACATTTGCAAAGCAGTGAGTCAGGTAAGAGGCAGTGCAAAGAAGACAATCTCTGTCGACAAATAGAAATGTCTGTTTTGTACCACGTGATCAAACACGGAAGTACATTCTACCGTTAGCACAACTTTTCATACAGAGGAAGGTCCCGCTTGTTGTTGTGTTTTGAAGCACTTCACAAATACAACAAGGTTGCGACTCGTTATTTCTGACTGTTTAGTCTTCTAAATATATCAGTAAGCATGACTCAGGCTGAGAAGGAGCAGGACAACGGGAAGGAGAAAGAAAAGGAACGAGACAAGGAGAAAGAGAAGGAGCAACAACGTGGGGTGAAAAGACCCATCGCTCCTCCGGCCATCCCAGACCCACTGCAGGAGGTGAGACGGGAAGTCGAGTGTTACAGTTGTTGTCCAATGTTCACATTTCTATTAAGTAGCCGAATATCATCGTCTCAGTCTTTCTAATTTAGCCTATTTAGCTTTCATAGGCACAGGTGGCCCCTCTTTTGGACTGCCAGGGGCTTAACATCAGTTACTTAAACGTATGTGTTAGTTAGAGGGGGACTGATAGTATACTCAGTAGTTTACTGTCTGATAGTATACTCAGTAGTTTGCTGTGTCTGACAGTATACTCAGTAGTTTACTGTGTCTGATAGTATACTCAGTAATTTACTGTCTGATAGTGTACTCAGTAGATTGCTGTGTCTGACAGTATACTCAGTAGTTTACTGCCTAAAAATGTACTCAGTAGTTTACTGTCTGATAGTATACTCATCAGTTTGCTGTCTGACTGTATACTCGGTAGTTCACTGCCTAAAAGTATACTCAGTAGTTTACTGTCTAATAGTGTACATAGTAGTTTACTCTCTGACAGTATACTTACTGTCTGATAGTATACTCAGTAGTTCACTATCTGACAGTATACTCAGTAGTTTACTGTCTGACAAACTCAGTAGTTTATTATCTGACAGTACTCAGTAGTTTACTGTCTGACAGTATACCCTATAGTTTACTGTCTGACAGTATACTCAGTAGTTTACTGTCTGATAGTATACGTATACTATCAGACAGTAAACTTAACCGTCAGTCTGGGGAAAACCCTTTCTTTCTTTTAGCATGACAGTTTTACATCTATAGTAGTGTTGTCAAAAATATCGATTTATCCTTACAAATCAATTCTGAATATTTCAAACTGTTTCAGTACTCATTTTCCATAGTATAGATACTCCGGTACCAGATGTGCTTTCTTGCTTTCTCTTATTGTCATTTTTTACTACAGTCATTCTGCTGTTCTCTGCTACTAACCCAGAAAAGAAAAGTTATTATTGTCATGTTATATTTTTCTTTAATGCCCTCACTGTCAGTTTTCCCTGTGGTATCAAGAATGGTATTGAGTGTCAATATTTTTCACGGTATTGTGTTGAAGTCAGAAATTCCAGTATTGTAAAAACACATTTCAAGAGAGAAATTGTTTTCTGTGTTTGGTGTGGAAGAAATTGACTGAGCTGCACAGAGCCCTGATCTAAACCCCATGCAACACCTTTGGGGTGAACTGGCATGTTGACTGTGAGCTGGACCTTATCACCCAGCATCAGCGTTGGACTACCTTAATGCCCTTGTGGCTGAAATGGGGGCAAATCCTTGCAGCCAGGTTCAGAAATTGTGTGGAAAGCCTATCCAGAAGAGTGGAGGTTGTTAAAGCAGAATGTTAATGCCCACAGTCTTGTTATGACATATTCAGCATGTGGGTGTAATGGTCAGATGTCCATTACTGACATGGTTTTGCTTATGCTGATCATGTCATCGCATTCCTTTTTTTTTTTTTTTTTTACAGCAAATACAGAGCAATTTTATAGTTGTCATCCACCCTGGCTCAAGGACACTCCGCATTGGTCGAGCAACAGACACTCTTCCGGTGACACTCCCACATGTGATAGCACGCAGACACAAGCAAAGTGGACAGCCCAGATGTGAAGACTCCTGGCTGCTGAGAGATGGTCTAAATGTAAGTCACTCATGACCAGATACACCCACAGTACAGTTTGTTTCTCTCCATCTCACTCCCACTCAGATTAATTTCATATTTGTGTCAGTATTCATTTACCCTCATTGCTTCTTTTTCCTGCCTGACAGAAACCAGAGAGTAATGAGCAGAGGCAGAATGGGCTTAAAATGGTCGACCAGGCAATCTGGTCCAAGAAGATGTCGAATGGAGTGCGGAGGACACCCGTGTCCGCTGAACAGGTGTGTGTTAGTATTATATGACAGAGCTGCATATGTTGCATAATTCTGCAACATTCACAGGCAGTGGCAACATGATACAATAACATATTTGCTTTTAAATTGTTTGGTGTAAGTGACATTTCTATTTATTTGACAGAAATATTGAGCACTTTGCATCGCTGTATGAAAGGTTCTAGAGTAAATAAAGGGTTGATTGGTTGATTTTAATTGTAATGAATAATTCTGGTGTTGTGCTAGTGTCTTGTACGGTGTTTTTTCATGTGCAGAAATTTATAACATTTTTTATACGTGTGTGTGTGTGTGTGTGTGTGTGTGTGTTTTAAGGCCAGAGCTTATAACTGTCAGATCCGTCCGGCAGTGCTAGACACCAGCTCTAGGGTGAAGTGGACCAACACAGCCCACCAGCCTCCTCATCTGGTGGGAGAGGAGGTCAGTGCATGTGTCTAAAGTGTCTGATCATCCTATAAAATAAGACATCTAAAACTGTTACCTTAACTCTTTGTCAGTTGTATCCGTTTTACTCATACTTTCTGTCTCTCTTCCCCCCACCTTCCACCCTGCCATCATCCAGGCTCTTTATGTGAATCCATCTGACTGTTATAACATCCACTGGCCTGTTGTCAGAGGTCAGCTCAATGTGCATGCCAGGCCCGGGGGCTCACTGACAGCTGTCCTGGCTGACCTCGAAACCATCTGGAGTCATGTTATTCAAAAGCATCTGGAGATCCCCCTCAAAGATTTAAAGGTAGGAGAAACCTTCTCACCTCTTCATATCATGTTCCTCTGTGAGGCATAATTAGTAGTGCAACATGTTGAAACTAGAAAATAATGAAAAATGTCATCAAATTGCTCTGACAGTAGAATCACTTTAATCTCCCACATTAATGCTTCGCTTTTGTGACTGGACACTAGTATTACAGATGCATCCTACTGGTCCCCGACATCTACAACAGGCAGCACATCAAAGAAGTTGTCAACATGCTGCTGCTTAATATGGGCTTCTCAGGTATCACACACAATTATACCTGTATGGCTGAGCACATAACAACAACATACCAACACACTGTTATATTCATCAACAGCCTGTTCAGGGTAGGCTAAGGAACTACCAAATCTGTGTCTCCTGGCATCACATCTGTCCTCTTGTGTGCGTGTGTACAGCGATCATAGTGCACCAGGAGTCGGTGTGTGCTACATTTGGCAGTGGGCTGAGCAGTGCTTGTGTCGTGGATGTCGGAGACCAGAAAACCAGTCTTTGTTGTGTAGAAGACGGAGTGTCCCATCGGAACTCCAGGTGAGACTGAGAGACAATTTCATGTTAAATGTATGTCTATGAATTTTTTTTTTTTCACCAAATACCATAGATCCATTTTACATTTACATACAGTAGATAACAATTCTGAATGTTTGCAAAGGAATAATTATAGTTTCTGCTGAGCTCATGTTGATATTTGTACTATGTAAGCCACAATGTTGGAACCCACTGTCTGTCGATCTGACGATGACAAAGCCTCTAGGAATGAGGGTCAGTATTTCGGGCTGATCTGGTGTAGCCACTGGACACCTGAGTCAAGACCTCCTCTTCCGTGTGCCGTTCATTTTGAATTATCTCTATAAACAAATATCTGCATATGAATGCGGACGATAGCCAATGCGTTGCAAGACTGCATTTTGGCATGCATGTGTTCCACCTCTATGTATGGACTTTTTAACTGCCGTTCAGACGTGATTGGTCAATACTATTTGGACGACAAATAGACAATAAATGAAAACCAGAACGCCTCCAATACCAAAATCTCTTTATAGAGATTGTGGGAGTGCCTGAAGGGTCAAGTGGGAATTTTGTTTCTGGAATTATTTTGGAATTGTGCAATAACTTTTGCGTTATGTATTGAGTTTCATTTTCGTGTGTTGTGTGTTGGTCCAGTAGTAATACACTGCCAATTTAGGGAAACAAAGAATTTCAGGAAAGAAAATGTTTCGAGGGCTCCACAGTAATACATTGTGTGTCCTGTCTGTTGGATTTTGCAGACTGTGTTTGGCGTATGGTGGCTCGGATGTGACCCGTACTTTCTTCTGGCTCCTGCAGAGGGCGGGCTTTCCTTACAGAGACTGTCAGCTGTCCAGCAGACTGGACTGTCAGCTCCTGCAGCACCTGAAGGAGACTTTCTGCCATCTAAACCAAGTGTGTTTTGGTCAGGGGGTGGAGTCCGGGTGTATAGAGGGAGTACTGGGGAACTGTAGCCTGTATGTTGAGCAGTTTCAGTCAAGCAGTCTGTGTCTGTTTCAATCCCTATAGATGGGCGCAGAATTCTGTAGTTATTCAGATAAATTCCAAATTATGTCTCTCTGACACTTATTCTTAACAGGACATATCAGGACTACAAGATCATGAATTCCAGACACGTTTCCCAGAAGCCCCAGCTTTTCTCTACCAAGTTCGACTAGGGGATGAGAAATTACAGGTACGTAGTTCAAGCAACAATGAAAAACCATGCTTTTTAAAACTGATGCTGAAATCCATTTGACATTGTCCTGTCTCCAGCTTGTGTACTGGAATTACTTTTCATCTGTGGCTCTATTTGTGTCCCCCCCCCTTCATTTTTTTCTGGCTCATGTGTATATATTATATATATCAGGCACCCATGGGTCTCTTCTACCCGACCACGTTTGGCATCGTAGGTCAGAAGATGACATCACTTCAGTACCGTTCCCAAGGCGACTCGGAGGATCCTCATGATGAACACTACCTGCTGGCCACACAGAGCAAACAGGACCAGGTAACACACACTCACACATATGCACACATCATTTCTTTACATAGAGGCCCTGTGGGTCTTGTTGTTATTATTATTATTCCTTTTAATTCTCTCATTTTTTTTCACCAGTCCTCCAAATCTGCTGCTGACAGAAAGGCTATTTCCAGACCAGGTGGTGGTTTGGATGGTGAGATGAGCAGTCAGGGAGGTATTGGGGAGCTCTCTGACCTGACGAGGGGCTGTGGGAGTGGTGTTGGTGGAGGAGGAATGAAAGGGGAGATGGAGCTTGGGCCTGCCCAGGGGGAGTGTCTGATGGGCGCTGGAGAGGTGGAAGAGCCCCTGTCTGCACACCTCTCCAGGAAGACCGCTATCATGAGCCAGTTTGAGAGCAAAGCACTGGGCCTGGATAAAGCCATCCTGCATAGCATCGACTGCTGTGGTACGGCCGGAGAATGAAGTGCAGATGTTTTATAGTGCCCAGGATGTCCTGTTTTAGCTCACCTTGTATTTTTTTTTACTTTTATAGGATCAGATGAAACCAAACGTAAGATGTACAGCTCCATCCTGGTAGTGGGAGGAGGGCTTATGTTTCATGGTGCTCAGGAGTTTCTGCTTCACCGCATCATCAACAAGATGCCGCCCTCATTCAGAAGACTGGTAGACAACGTGGAAGTTATCACACGGCCAAAGGTAACCTGCGATATGTTGTACTGAGTCTTTAGGGTTGGGCCAGTGTAAAAAATTTCAGACTGGTTTGGTATTAGGCCAAACACCAGACCAGACCGGTATACTGAATTTTATCAGTAGGTGTTGCACTTGACTCAGCAGATGTTCCGGAGTTGAACATAATCACCGTGTCCTAATGGCAAATGAGGCGTCTATCACGTTGCATCATGCAACATCGGAGTTCTTTGTGTCCACATCGAATTCATCAAATATGCACTTCTGTTACGTCATGTCAACAAACCACATAGATAACAGCTGTGAGTTAGCGATGTGCCATCTACTCGCAATCTACTTGCTATCTCCTATAGTTGTAGTTTTTAAATTGAAAACATGTTTTTGTGATATGCTCTAGAAATGATACACAATATAGCAAACAGCAAGTCGCTTAGGTTGTTATTAGTGATGGTCATTTACCAGAAATTTTAGCTCCCTGGCAATCTCCCTCAAACCAGCTGCCACCTTATTTAGGTTTTTGTAGTGAAATAAGGAGACAACTTATTGGTAATTACCCTATACATCTTTATCAATCAGCCGTTTCTCGTCCACTGTGGTATTTTTAAAGCTAGTGACCGGAATAAATAGAAACAGGGCGTCCGACAAAAGTTCAGACAGCTCTTTTGTTGGCTTTTAATTTACCAGAATATGTCATAATGACAAATGCCAGTTCAGCCGGTTTACATAAAATCAAACCGGTTTGAGCTTGTATACTGGACCGGACCGGCAGAACCGGAAAACGAGTCATAGTCATAAAAATATTAGGGATCTGTAATGCAGGCAAAGTAGGGTTTCGTTCAGTGGCATTAATTTTTTTTTTTTTTTTTTTTAAATGTCTACTTATGTCAAAGGTTGGGAGTTAGTAAGATGAGTGCTATGCACAAGAAACTATATATATATATATATATATATATATATATCTATATTTGAGAAACAAGTAGTAAAATGCTACACACAACTCCTCTAATGTACTTGTAAACTGATGTGGATGTGCTCTAGGACATGGACCCTAGGCTGATATCGTGGAAGGGTGGAGCAGTGCTGGCATGTCTGGACACCACTCAGGAAATGTGGATCCACCAAAGGGAGTGGCAGCGCTTTGGTGTTCGAATGCTCCGTGAGAGAGCTGCCTTTGTCTGGTGAAACCAACACGGTGTCTACACAGGAGGCGTAGCTTGGGCAGTGTGTCAGCGGAGCAGCAGCTTCAGTGCTCAGTGTCCACACACAGGATGATTTCAGGCACAGTTAAACATGCAGAAAGACTCAGTAGCTCTAAATGTCATGACTCTTGATCAAATTCATGCAGAACGTAAATCTGTGTTGTGGAATGAAAACCACAAGTGTTTGACAGCACTGCCAACACCATGTGGAAAATTTTCACCAATCTGTATTTTCCACTTGTGTTGCCTGTTTTTTTTTCCAACATAAACCCAGATGAGGTCATTATTGTGTAACTTTTGAACAGTATTCTGTAAATAGTGATGCAATTCTCCCATGTCCCTGTGTGTAAATAAACCTGTCACAGTTGTATACACAGTGTTGCATTTGATATGAACAAACAAAATCCAGCTCACTTTGTATTAGAAACATATTGAATGTCATGAGGTTGGCTCCAGTCGCAAAGTATCCCTAACAGAATCTCAAAAACTCAATGTTTTTCAGACTTGTGTGCATAATGCAACCTTTGCAGGTGAGTTGAGAGAATGACAAATGCCTCCACCTGCTCTGCCACATTTGCCACAGAGTATTCTATAGTATCTTCACATTACCAACATTTAATTACAGAGTCAAAAGTATGTCATATCATTTTGTCAGTATAGCTCTACATAGAGACATGTTGTGTTGTTACTAAGTGTGAACATACTGGAACAAGACATGCTCAGTTGTAACATCGCACATTTTTATTCAGTCAGAAGGATACAAAACAATCTAACTTCATGTTTTCCAGGACCCATAATCATAACCAAAATGTCAGTGACACGCATCTCTGTGAGACTGGTGTGAAAAGAAAGTGGAAGGAAAAAGGAAGAAGCACGAAAAGGGAGAAAATTATGTGGATAGCTGCTGCATCAGCCATTCTGGCCCCTACGTGTAGGAATTCCCAGAAAGGCGTCAAGAAACTGCTCATGGCAGCAGCAGCTGATGAAGAGGGGCTTCAGCACTGTGACATCACCATTGTTCTTTATGTTCTCAGCAAACAGACACCGTGCCAAGCCCCACGCCTACACTGGATGTGTAGGCATTTACCTAGAAAGAAGAGAGAGTTATACAGGGGAGGAGTAAGAATGTCTTCACATCATTTACAAATATCTGTTGGGCATTGCAAAAAACAACTGGGAAATGTTTACATTCTTCACAGCTTAGTCTTTTAACTCATAGTTTGTGTTACAGGCTCCAGAAATAGAAGTTGCCAGATATCAACAAGGAGTTTATCTAATGAATAATATTTTAGTTAGAAGAAAACTATTTCTCACCTTCCTCATCCTCCTCCACCCATTGGTGGAGGGGTGGGACCTGCACCGTGGTTTATTCTTCCAATCTGTCTTCTGCCACCAGGGGGACCTGGGGGACTGAAAAAGTAAGCAACAGAGGAGAGAGAACAATATTTTAAAATGAGGATAAATGTCTTAAAAGGGTCATAATAAGCTCTTGAGTATTGTTTGTCATTTTCTAGTCTATCTTAGATATTTCAAACTAAAGTGCAAGGGATGGGCAACATAAATGAAAAACACAATCTCTTCCTGAAATACACTTAACTAACAATGCAACAGTTAACTCAAAACTGCTGTAGTGGGCATCAGCATAACATCATGTTTAAACTCTGCAGAGTAGCTCTCATGTCAGAACTCTGTTTAAATTATAAAATATTTTAAATTAAAGTCTCATAACCAGTGGGTGTTCTACATTGATCCAAAAGGGCAGTTAAAGATTTTACACCAATGTATTCCAAATAAAATTCTAAACTAGTTCCTACATATGACAAAAACATGCTACCACACGGACTACACTCTCACCATCAGATTAGGTAACCATCAATGTAACGATATAGGGAAATGAGGGCCTGTCCCCAGTGTGTGTGTGAATATGGAGACATGAGTGCGCCCCGGAGACCTACCCTCTGTTATCAGTGAAGCGTGACGTGGCAGAGTTTCCATCTTTTGTCATGTCAGGGTGAATCAATGTCTTAAAACTGGTAGAGGACAAACAAGATCAGAGCGGACAGCAGTGTTAAGTGGTGATACAAAAATATCATTGTTTTACTTAATTCTTTGGTACATGACTAAATACCTGAAAAAAACCACCTGCCATTCCCATCCACCTCATTAGCAAATGTTAGCATGCTGATGCCCAAATTCTTCTCTTTATCAAATAATAAATTCACTGACAAGGCCAGTTGAACACAGTATTAAAACCCTTATGTTTCTGAGGAGTAAAAATAAAATATCTAAAAAAGATAATACATTTAATTGCATAAACTGTAAATAATCAAAACAAAAAAATAGAATTCATAATTTAAAATTGTCTTGATCATTAATTTGTAATTAATTTCTAGAGATTACTAAGGAGGCAGAATTTACTACAAAAAGCATCAAAAAGGGTGGTTTTCATACATTTTTCTTTGTTTATAATATGTGTTAATAAGGTCTTCTAGCTTCCCTAAAGCCATATATTAAAATGTTGAGCGTGGTAAACGGTGTATCTGCTATACATCAACATGTCAGCACTGTCACTGTGAGTATGTTTGGGTGCTGACATTAACATGTAGCATAAGTATGTACAGCCTCACAGAGCTACTGTTGTGGCTTTAGACTCCTGTAGCTATCTTACTATTCCACCACTTCACATCAGTTTTACTGGCAACAGGGCAACGACATTAGACAAATTTGTAACACTTACAACAGGCCGATGAACTCCACTGCTCCCCAGAACAGATCGACCAGTAAGGACAGTCTCCATGGTGACTGGAACCTGCTGTCCAGGACCTGACCTGAGAAATGGGTGAGACAACAAGGATCGGGTGATGATAGACGGAATAGCTTGTGAGGTTATTCACATTGAAAGCCAATAGTGTGTGTACGCATTCCTCCTCCGTTTATATGTTAATGGTTTAACCGGCTGTACCTCTTTAACCTAGCTTTCAGTACACTTTGGCTAACAGCTAATCCGATTTTGAAAGCGAGACACAAAACAGCACGGCCCTCACTCAACGAACTACAGCAATAACACTAACATGTTAAACTGAACAGTGGATTAAACACCATTAGACACCTTTTTGTAGAAGACTCGCTGGATTAATTCACTTATTCCTACTACGCAGACCCAGCCAGTCTAAGATAGCTGTTAGTTAGCTGAATTCAGCCCAACGACCTGCTAAAGCTACGCATTTCAGATTAAAGTATAAAGTTATTTGAAAAAGTTCGGCACAGAAAATTATATCAACAACAAAGCTACATTTTCCTACAGAAGAGATGAGAAAACGGTTTAAGACACAGGACAAACCACTCACCGTTGGACACGTACACCATCTTTCTGAAAGTAACAACACAGCTACCACAGCTGTGTGTTTACTACTGGAAATGCACTTCCGGGTTCGTTGTTGCGTCATTCTCAAACGCGCATGTGTGAAAAAAAAATACTGAATACTTTATGTATGTCAGCGCTTTTTAATGTAAACAATATATTTCTCTCACATTTCCTATAGAGTTTATAATAATTACCATTCAAACAGAATTGTTTATGGTTTATGTTTGTTGAAACGTGTGATTTCAAATTTATGATCTTTTTGGAGACTTTTTTTTTTCATATCCTTCCTGTCCGGTGAAAAACATGTATTAATACTGTTTGACTGAGCTCATGAAAAATTTACTTTTTAAAAATAAGTGATTCTCACAGTACAGTGATGCTACAAATATATGATGATTTTATAGATTATGATGCATTGCTGCAGATTAAACTACCAAAAACAATCTTAAACATCTACAGCAGTAAGGTGCAGCACACACATAAATGCACCAGTAATATTAATAAAAAAACATCATACTGCTATATAGTTAAACACTAACAGGGATATTTTTTCTGCAGTGTGAGTGCTTTTACTTGATACTTTACTGATGCTTACATACTTTTACTTTTGAGTGAATGCAGGACTTTTACTTGTATTGGAGTATTTTCAGTGGTGTTGACGCTTTTACTTAACTAAAGGATCTGAATCCTCATTCCACCACTATTTTATTGTAATGTCTTGTCCTGAGAGGTGTTTCTAATATATTGTCTAGCCTCACTGATCTAAATGGGGTGGATACAATATAGAAACATTATTACGACATCAGAGCTGAGTATATTTCTACTCAAACAATAGAACACAGGCTTTGTTTTTTAAGTGTAATGTTTTAATATGCAGTAAAAACATTACGTTGCCTGATGCTTTGTGTCCCACTCCCATCCCTGCCAAAGCTACGCACATGCTACAAACACGACATTATGTGTACAAAAGCAAAGGTGGCATGGAAGGGATGTGATGATTCAGATTCAATACCTTAGAGTTGGGTCAATCAATACATTTGTAGCAAAGATTAAGTGGTGCCTGTGAACATTTCCAAAGTTTCATTTCATGAGGTCATTTTTACATTTTGTAAAAGTAGACAAAAGTGCTTCATCTGCACCATCCAGGTTGCTGAAGTGACATTCTGAAATCTGGAGTTTGTTTTTGTTTAGGGCCTGAGTGAAGCTGAGATGAGAGGAGCAAGCAGCAACCACTGCAGTTGAGCATGATAGTTTGAGAACCTGTCGACCAAGCCCCAAAACATACAGTACTTCTCTGTTACCCTCAATGCCCTCATGATACATCAAAACATATTTTAGAAAACCCCCATCAAGACATCATATGAGACACATATTATGGAGCTTTACTGCTAAGAATCTAACATCTTATGGAATAAAACACAACTTCATATTTCATAAAGTATGTTGCAACTGTGACTTCAATACAGTATGACTTTTTGAGACAGTGCTGGAATTATATACTCCTAGGGGATTGTAGTTGCTACTTGGTTTCACATCTTATCCACAAAAGTTTTTTCTTGATAGATATAACCTCAAGTAGGCCACACTTTACAGTACAAGATAGGGTGTAAAACAGCAGGTATCATCTCAGCATGACTTGGGTCAACATATCAGGGACAAACTCAATTTTTTAATTCATTAACTGTTTTAAGCTGAGTGTTTTCCTTTATCATAACAATATCATAATATTTCTGTTAAACATCTACGATATGGATATTTTCAACTATTTAGGCTAATTCTTAACAGTCTACATTTAAGGTATGTTTGCTGGTAAACTAGGAGAAATGAAAAAGCTTAGGAAATGCCTGAATATTGCACCATTTAAATTCATGCAAAATAAATAATATAGAAACTGAAATGTTATTTCAGATTCCTGGTGACATATAACAGCTGATGACACAAAGGGATGAAGGCATTCTGTGGTTTTACATTATTCTGATAAATCTGGATATATGACAAAGGCTGAAATACAACACATTATTCCTTTCCGCTGGTCTGAGGTTCAAGTCCTGTGGTCTCTTCACCAGGCTTGTGAGTGCAATATTCTTCTCCACTGACTTGGGATCCAGGTTGTATTGTGTCCTCAGATTTTTCTGTGTTGTAGTCTTCAAAACGAGCCTGGGCTTCAGATAACATTTTGTCTCCCACAGGCGTTTGTGTGCCACACTCACTGTCACTTGTTTGCACTTGAGGTCTTGTGCTCTCTTCACCATGTTTTGGTGTGTCACACTCTTTGTCCGGTTCAGGTTTATTGTTCTTTCCATGTGGCTCCTGTGTGTCACTCTCAGTCTCTGGTTTCCGACTGGCTGCTCCTCTGAAAATACCAGCTTTGTGAAGCTCACGCCGTATAGTCTTTACTGAGACAGTGTGAGAAAGGTGTCTATTCAACTCTGTGGTTATTTTTGAGGCTGTGTACTCAGGGTGTTCGTCGACTATCCTGAGCAGTGTCTGTCTGTCCTTTTCAGTGAGCTTTGACTTGCGCCCGCTGTTCTTTTTTGCTGATGCTGTTCGTCCATGTTTGATGTACACAGTCATGACTCTGGAGACTGTTCCCCTTGCCACGTTAAACAGCTGTGCAGTTTTTGTGACAGATGCCCCTGAAAGCCGCGCAGCGACTATCTGGCATCGTTCAAACTCTGTTAAGTCACTCATATTGCTTTGATCACTGCTTTTGAAGTGCTGACTGTCTCCTCTGGAGCCAGCAGGAAATCCCAAGTGACAGGCAGGTGGCAGGGCCTGTAATTGCTGCTTAGGTGCACCAAAGCCCTCTGTTATATGGTGCTTCCATCATGTGGTACATTGGAGCAGAGACATCCAGGGAAACATCCACCACTGTGTCTATAAATGGACGAAGAAAGAAATAAGAGATACCAAAAGTTAACATTTCAAATCATTGTATTTGTTTACACCGACACTCAGCTGCGTGCTAAGGTAGGTGTGTGTGACACTGAATCCTGTATCAAGGTTCACACAACCACCGTGTACAAGCTAACATTACCTGAAACGTTCATTTGACAGGGGCTGGACAAAATAAACCAAACACTTTACGATACAGTTTAAATAAACAGAGACGGTTATTAGCGTTTGTTCAGTTTTTGTTGACGGTCAAAGGTTTTCAATCAACTCGATGTTTAATTTTCGATGCTAGCCAGGTAGCAAGATTAGCTTCCCTCAACAAAGTACGCTCTCAGAATATAGTGTCACAGTTTCAATGCCAAATTAAATACATAAGCTTTTCATTGACTATAGTGTTTTACTTACAACTATAATTGGACAAGGTTGGCACTCCGTCCACCGCTACTTTATCACCGAGCTGTGTTTGTGTTTCACCGGGGAGGAGAGGAACTGCTACTTCCGGTCAGAGGATTTCAGAATAAAGGGGTCATAACAGCTGCTCACATAACTACTTTTAAAATCTTTTAAATTTTCTATTATTATTATCATTATTATTATTATTATTATTATTATTATTTTTACTACTACTACTACTACTATATTATTATTATTATTATTATTATTAATTAATTAATTTATTTATTTATTATTTTTTTAAATTATTTTATTCTACTTTAACAGTGATTCAACACGGGAAAAAGACCAGGCAGGAGAACACTGATGTGTTTTCTCTTATTGACATAATATAACAGTATACATGCACTTCTCATATTGTTCCACAAACAGAGAAAAATATAGCACATTCTTGTGAATTTGAATGAACAAAACAGGTCCACTTAAACACATTCACATGTCTAAATTCTTGTTATCCCCTTTCATTTTTTTCTTCTCAGAATTCCTTCTCAACAAAATCTTGATTATCATTAAGAAACCCGTATACATATCCTCCTGAGATCAGGCGATCCGTTATGTGTGCTCTGTGAGGGACAAGCTAGACAGTAAAGCAGGATGTTCAATGCACATAGGAGGACGAGCTGAGGAAGAAATTATTGACACCCAGTGCCCATTTTGGATTAAAAGTGACACAGAAACAATACACAACATTATTATTATAATATTTGTATTATTACACTTCTTAAAAGTGAATTTAATCATATAATCTAAATGTACTGTATTGTTATGTACATTTTGTGGAAACGATTGACCTGATTTCCAGTACAAAATACATGTTATAAAACAGAAATAAATAACCAGTTTGAGAAGAAAAAAATCTGTGCCACATTTCTTACATCCTAATCACTTAAATTATGTTAAAAAAAAAAAAAAAAAGTTAAAACATTTTTTTATCAGTCTCAGGAGGATCAGTACAATGGACCTTGGTGTACTGCAGCCAGTACACAACAATCAACTTAAAACACTGTCTCTTGCCAGCACACAGCATAGAACTAATTGCTTGTGGAAAAAAACAAAAACAAAAAACATTGAGTGCTGCACCCAAACACAGGCAGATGCCACTGGTTTAACGTGAACTTAAGTTACTCATTCTTACAAAACAGAATAAAAAAAAGCTTAGGGGAAAACCCTGGAAATGTACCTTAGCTGACAGAATACTTGACTACATCACATCAAACATAAGTCACTCCTGGTCTTTGGTCTGACATTCAGATCTTTTGCTCTCTTCATCAGTGTTTTGTGCGTCAGCCTTAGAGTCACATACTGGTTTCCTACTGGCAGCTTTTTGCCGACTGTTATTCGCTGATGAAGTCTGTCCATGTTTGTTATAGCCGCTCATGACTTTGAGGACAGTTTGACTCGATACACCACATAACTGAGCAGTCTTTTTGACTGACAGACCTGCAAGTTGGGCTCCAACTATCTGGCCTCTGTCAAAGTCTGTTAACTCACTCATACTGGAAGTGAAGGTGGCGAGTGTCTCCTCTGACGCTGGCAGACAATCCCAACTGTCAGTCAAGCTAATAACTGAGCAGGTGTCTCTGTAGCTGAGATACTTTAAAGTTGAAGCTGATTTTCGTGTGGAGTTCACTGGGTTTAAGAGTGTAGGGGGAGATCACTCGTCCATCTATAAATGGATGAAAAATGGATTAAAAAAAAAGTAATAAACTCAATAAAGCACTTTACAGCACAATACAATCATCTAGCAGTAGCTAAAAGAGGAACTAATTAACATGTTTTATTTTTTCTTAATTTTCAATTATGTAATTTAGGCTAGCCAGGTAGAACGCTAATTTTGTGTGAATGCCTCTAGCATTCAAATAGGTACGCTCAATTAAGAGCAATGATTGACATTAGTGCTTGTATTTTTATCATTTCTAATTTTTGTGTTCAGAAATACTGCACATATTCCATTAAAAAAATCCACTTTTAAATGAATGAAGGACATGTTCAGAATTTAAACATTTTCATGCATTTCAAACTTTCATGTATTTATTCAACAGACTGATAACGAAGGTCATCTCTGTCCTGGGATGCTATCGTGACCCAGTAGAGGTGGTGGGACAAAGGAAAATGACAGCCAACATCGACAACATGTCCCACCCCATGCAGGACACTTTGTCAGCTCCTTCAGTGACAGGTCTGCTTCATCTGTGGTGTTTGAAGGAGAGATACCACAGGTTCTTCCTTCCTGCTGCTGTCAGACTACACAACCAACACTACTCCCAGTATACAAATACCATGAACATTCAACCTCTCAGCCTGTCTATTACAATCAATCACTCAGGTGCAATATCTGTATTGTTAAACTGTGTAATATATATACTTCCGTCATTCAATAATGTAAAATCAGCCATTCAGTCTGTCTCTTGATTATATTCTGCTTCTTTCTGATGTTTCTTTATCATATTGCTTTGTGTTTTTATACTGTTTGCTTATGATACTGCTCTTGTTTTTGTACAATTTACTTATTTTACATATTTCTATATTGCTTTGTAATTTATTTTTTTCTATTGATACTTCCTATTTGCACTATCCCTTTGCTGTTTTAATGCTGCAAATTTCCCCCACTGTGGGACGATTTAAGGATTATCTTTTCTTATCTTTAACTTTCTCCTAGAAACTCAATTTAAATTTTAAAACGGTCCACATCTTTCATACATTACAGGTGTATTTTACCTTTCAAATTCCACTAAAACCCAGGGACCATTTAGCAGTAACCATCACCATGGCAACCCTGACTGCAGCTGCACACACAGGTGACTGAGATTAACTAGTTAGTGCAGTGTAGTCTCTCTCCTCACACACACACACACACACACACACACACACACACACACACACACACACACCTTACATGTTCTGACTTTTAAAAAAGCATTTCCTAAGTCTTCTCTATTGTTCATAGCCTACTTTACAACTTATTATTTATTCCGCTTTTAAACCCTAAACTATTCCTGCTACTTTACCTTCCTCATATAGCCTCATACATGTTAGTCCCTGATCACACAGACAGCGTTTTCCAAGACAGCAGTGCAGTGTGTGTGTGAGGTCAGGTTTTCAACATTCAGCATTCACACCACAGTTTCTTCAGAAATTGTATTTTCTAGTTACTAGATGCGCTTACATTAACAAAATATGTTACCATTAATACAATTTAAGGACAAATGAAATAAGCGTACAATATGCATGTATGTTGCACTTACAGCTCGTCCACAGCTGGTCTTTCCATGGATGCAGCATTTCTTCTTTTGTGGGTTTTGAACGGCAGAAGTCATTCAGCGTATTAGGAGCATTAGCGCCCCCCTGTGCTTCGGAGTGTAGCTCTGAGATTAGATCCCATGCATTGCTGTTTCTCTGAGAAAATAAAATGCACTGTTTGCTCCATTTGACATGTTCATTATGTTTTTATGTTAAGTCTGAATTGCAGCCTTCATGAGACCTCCTCGCATCCATTGTCTCATTTGTTCTTACCTGTTACACAAGTATTTCATAATAAACGCGTCATACTTTTACACAGCCCACAACACTCAAATGAATTCAAATATGCTAAGGTGCACAGGTAGACAATATAATGTAAATTCTAGATGACCAATTCTCAAGCAACCCAATTAGGGTCTCAACTAAGGATGTTTTTATTGGGATTAAGCTATGTAGGATTATAATGAAATGGCTCTACAACTTTGTTGAGGCTTTGTAGCACTGAGCAGCTGCTCTGTTCTTTTCTGCTGCTGCTTTTAATGGTCAAGACACAGACAGTGTATCCACAACTGGTGGTCAGAACAATGATCCAAAACAGGAAAAGGACAGAGGAAAGACCTGCAGGATCTGTAAGCCATTAGAATGATCTCACATATCAGTCATGACATAACAAAATGTTGTGTTTTGAGGATAATAATGTCCCTTGATAAATGAACCATTGCTGTTTTAAGATTCCCTTATATTCAGTAAAGTTGCTTCCATGTTAGATCCACCAGAGGGCATCAGAGACAGTAGAATAACTAAAAAGAAGGATTAAAATTAGGTATTACAGTGTGTCTGGCTGCGCTGCCTTCCCATTAATGAACCAACACATATAATACACTGTCCTTTATTTTGATAGGGACCTTTCTGACCCCAACAAGGAGCCCTTCAGGTTCCCACACGTCTCTTTGGTGAAGGGCTAATGAATTAAAAAGAAACAGCTCCACAACTTTGAAGGCTGTGCATCTTTGAAGCAGCTTGCCCTCACACTGGTGTTCCTTTGTTGCTGCTTCTGATGACCATGACCCCAGACTGAAGGTCAAAGGTCAAACGCTCAGACGAAATAAGGCTGTACTTCTGAGGGCTGACCCATGCAGGGAGGGTCAAAGTTCATACATAACAGTCAGGTGAAGAGAACAGTGATCCCACACAGTGACAGGAGGGGTAAATGGCAAGGAGAGTTTTAATCAAGTGGATTTTTCCTCATTAAAATATGAATTTATATGCATTTGTTATGTGATTCATCCAAAGCACACATGGTGAGATGAAACTGTGGCCTGCAGCTGGGTAAATAAGGGTGCAGGGTCTCTTAATGCTGTAAACACAAGTGCCCACATTTTAGTTTCTTTTCGAACATCTTACGAACCGTAACACCTTTGGGTCATCAACAGGATACTTTTTTATGCTGAGCGAGATAAATATAAGAAACATGTTCATTTGCAATTATAGAAACAAACACTGTAAGTTAATGATAAACCACATACGTTGTACAAACATCCATCCATCCATTATCTGTCACCGCTTATCCTTTTACAGAGGCGGGGGCTGGAGCTGATCCCAGCTGACAGTGGCTAAGAGAATACAAAAATGATTTCTGTAAATAAATAAAAAAAGTACCAACAAAACAAAGGAATTTCCTCTAAAAGCAACAAGTCATTTTTCCGGCTAAACTTAAAGTTTGTCTAAATTTGCCATTTTTTGGGGGGCTTTTTGACGTCAGTGGATCATCAAAGGGCTCTGAAAACAGTGGACCTATTAGTGAATAGTTTTTGACAGTCATAGTGGTAATAAAAAACAAAATGCTGAAAATGAAAATGAAAACTGACTGTGACCTGTTTAACTGTGGTTTCCACGAGTTATTTTGTGAATGTTGTATTGCAGTTCACACACTATTTCTCAAACTATGTGAAAGTTCACTTTCACGTCATGTCTTTGATGATGGAGTTTCCTCTCAGATTATAAACTGGGTGTGAATCATTTCACCTCTCTAAATAAATGAAGTTTTTAAAAGGTTTTAAACTTTTCCACTGTAATTTTTGCAGGTTTTCTGCACAATTCACATTTTTTTCTCCCAGCACTGATCTGCTTCACTGTCACACGGATACTTACTGCATACTATTTCTTGAGCAAGTGCAAAGGTGTGTGTGTGTGTGTGTGTGTGTGTTTTGTGCTAGCAGGACCTCCTTTACTTTTTCTGGTTTATTACCAGGGGAAACAACTGAACAACTCCAGTCACATTCATCTGTTTGCAATGCACATCTCCTTAACACACACACACACACACACACACACACACACACACACACACACACACTCGTGCGCACAGACTCTTCTAAACCTTTACATTGATCCTTTCTCTTTTCCATGCCTCCTCTGTTGCCATCCATCTCTTCTCCTTTCTCCCTTTCTTTTGCCTCATTACAACAATGGAAACATGCCATAAGAATCAGATTTTTGGTTCCTATAAGAAACTCCATAAAAATACAGCAATGGAGGCAGTAACTTTTCCAAAGAAAAGCCAGATGTCACTATTCCTTTTCATGGTTATTATTCAGACTCAAACACGTCAAATGGCCAAACAGAGAATATTGGGGGTCGTGCTAGACCGCGTTATTATAATTTATTTATTTCGTTTCACCTAGGCCCACCCTACTGTGCTGTGATTGGCTAGTACTCACCCACACCATGACCTCTTTACCCTAACCATAATCGTGTCAGATCTTGACACATTCACACAGTAGCTCGAAATGCGGCCTCAAGCAACTGCTTATTGCTTGGGTGGGGTGGAAAGGGCCAACTCTAAGCGAACAAGTTTTTGGATGGGATAGCACCACCATGTGGCCATTTTAAAAACTATTTATTTTGGCTGTTGACTGGAAGATAGGGTCTGAAATCAAACAGTGTTTTTCCTGGTTAATAATGAATCAGCCACAACTGTTTCATCTCAAACAGGTTTTCTTAACCTTCCACTGTCAGACGCTGACAAAAAAAAGCCATCCATTTATGTCGGCATGATATGGCTGGTCATTGATATTGTGGAATGGCGCCTGGCAGCATCAGGGAAACGTGGCCGGAAAACAACAAAAGTTAAGGGCATGAAGAGCCTGAGAAGAAGGGGGTGGGAGGGGTGATGGATGGGTCCAACAACCACTGACTTTGACATGGGAGGCCCGTATTCACTTCCTGTATGAATGCGAAGCCAAACTCTGTTAAGTCTTTCTAAACCTAACCACGTGTGTGTGTTGGCTAAACATGACCATGTACATTTGCTGTTGAAGGAAAAAAAAATCAATCCGCTGTGTTGTACCAATGTAGTACATTTATACTGAAAGAGACTGTAATGAAACTGTAAAACCTGTAAAACAGGAGTGTATCTTGAAAACACACAATGCATGCAACAGGCTAAAGTTCACATGGAACCATAACGTCAACGACCAACACACCTGGGATACCTTGCAAGTCATATGTTCATGACTTTCATGTTCTTTCATGCTCGTGTTCATGACATATGTTCAAATCCATGACCGAGCATCAATATGTGACAAGGCTGGAGTAAGAACGTGTTGGTTTTCTGCTGTTTTATATGGTTAATATTGTGTAGCATCTTTCAAGTGATACTGATGGCTTCAATTTTTAGGTACCATTTTCTGATGAGTAAGCCCCTGTAAAGGCTTTATAGGTATTCATTAATGACTTTATTAAAGGTTAATAAGTCATTTATGTTTGTGTTATAGGTCATTTATATGCTACTAATAATATGTTTTGAAATGCCTCTATTTTCATCATCATCATCATCATCATCATCAGCTAGCTCTTAAACTCATCAGGAAGATGACTGTTTGACCACGTAGCTTCTGGAAAAGAGCTGCAGGTCACAACTTATTAACATTTACACCTGCAAAATGAATAGATTACTCCATGAATCATTTTTTTCATGGTTTATTAACAATTTTTTAAATAATTGCAGTTGACTGATGAGCTTTTGTTGATGGCTTATTGGAAAATGAAAATGATAAGACTCTTTTTTAATGACATTCAAACATTTCTAACTGTAGACATGATGACTTATAGGAACGCCAGAGACACACAAGCATTTTTAAGGCGATTCAAGTGAAATTTATTTGTTTAGCACCAAATCAATCTATATGTCATATAGATTTAGAGAGACCCAACACATTTCCACAATTCCCACCACGAGCAAGCACTTTGGCGACGGTGGCGAGGAAAAACTGCCTTTTAATAGGCAGAAACCTCGAGCAGAACCAGGCTTTGTGGTGGGCGGCCATCTGCCTTGACCGGTTGGGTTAGGGGAAGGGAGGGAAAGAGAGAGAGGAATGGGGGGGGGGGGGAAAAAGAGGGATAGAGTGGGATGGAAGGAGAGAGGGGGATGCACAGCAAGTTGAAATCTGTGAAGTCCAACAGGTCTGCAAAAAAACACAGAGAGTTTCCACCTCAGATATTTGTCTAAGATTTTCTATTACACAGATACTATATAACATCACTGTTTCCACTCAGTGGCTTTCACAGGCTTCATCATTTCTAATGGCATTTAGAAATCAGATAAGGTGAAAACGCATGGCAAGACACATACACACTACTAAATATCTCATGCTGCTATTAAACACCAGCCACACTACCTTGAGTTCACATGAGTGGGTGGAAGAAGAGCCCTCTCTGGCTGATGACGTTGGGAATCACAGAAAGTCAGGTTCATGTCGATGGGTGTGTGCTCTTCTTCGACACAAGGTATGGGAAAAACCTGTGAGAAAAAGAAGATGATGTAAATAAAATGTCAACAGACAGGAGGCTTACATTTGTCAGCCCAGGCTTGCTATTATTACACAGCTCTGTTTTTGCATGTTATCTGAAAATTATATTTACGGGTGAATCTCTGGTCCCTGCCGTTCCACTCAGGTCTTCACTTGACAACAGGATAGGAGTCCGCTGTGCAGGTTGCTGGAAGAGACCATCGATGGAGCTATGGCCACAGCTGTCTGTCAGAATCTGCAGGTGGAGGCGGCACCTGCAGATTCTGACAGACAGCTGTAGATGGAGGCTGTAGATCATTCTTTGTGGTGGTGGAGCTGATGGACTGTCGCTGGTGGAGGTAGTTTGTGCATTTCTCTGCAGCTGTCTGCTGTCTGAAGGTGGAGGCTTGGGCAGCAGACAGCTGCTATCTGAAGGTGGCTGTGAGAGGCCATTGGTGGAAGGTGGAGCAGGACACTTTAGAGACCATAGATGGAACTATGGTCACAGCTGTCTGCTAGAATCTGCAGTTGAAGGCGGCAGCTGCAGGTTACTTGCAGAGGCTGTAGTTGGAGGTTTGTCTTCAGCTGTCTGCCAGAATCTGCAGGTGGAGGCGACGGCTGCAGGTTACTGACAGAGGCTGTTGATGGAGGTTTGACTTCAGCTGTCTGTCAGAATCTGCAGGTGGAGGCGAAAACTGCAGATTGCTGACAGACGCTGTTGGTGGAGGTTCGGCTTCAGTTGGCTGTACGTGAAAATTTGGCCACAGCTGTCTGTCAGGATCTGCAGGCGGAGGCAGGACCTGCAGGTCGCTGACAGAGGCTGTAGATGGAGGTTTACCAAAGTTTCAGATGGCACATCATTCTTTAGAACTTTGTGGTGGTGGAGCTGATGGAATGTCGCTGGTGGAGGTAGTTTGAGCATTTCTCTGTAGCTGTCTGCTGTCTGAAGGTGGAGGCTTGGGCAGCAGACAGCTGCTATCTGAAGGTGGCTGTGAGAGGCCATTGGTGTAATGTGGAGCAGGACACTTTAGAGACCATAGATGGCGGTGTGGACACAGCTGTCTGCCAGAATCTGCAGGCGGAGGCGGCAGCTGCAGGTTGTTGGCAGAGGCTGTAGGTGTGGCTTTTCTGATGCAACACACAGCTACAACACTTAACTTAAACTACACTTAAACTTAGAACATGCAATACTTAAACTACTATTTACAGGTATGAGCTAATGTAAGTATTATTTAGTGCTTAGCTCTTTTCTGTGGGGGTGTCCATGGCTCTGGTTCCCCCGAAGTGTCCACATCATACTGGGGAGGATGGGCTCCAACCCCGTATGACGCATTCACATGAACCAGTCCGTCCTCATTGACTGATTCTGTGAACGTGGGACGGTCTAGTCGCTTCCAGAGCCGCTGCTTAATGCGACGTCCCAGCGCCAGACTATAAGGACGCAGCTGGCCATTGTTGTACCTGTGAGGAGCAGAAGAAACAGAAATTAAATCCTAATGATACATGTGATTAAAAAACTTCAATATGGAAAAAAATGCATGAAAGAATAAAGACTGTCATGATGATCTGATTGATCATGATTTGGACTCAAACTCACCTCAGCATGTCATCCACGACCTCGTGGTAGATCCTCTGGTACTCTTCCACAGAGTGGTTGTGGATCATCAGAGGGCCGTCGTCACATAGTGGAGCAGTAGAGGGCTGGGGGCTGGGGGCCACATCAGAGCACACCGGCAGGTCGGCTGGTGAGATGGTGGCAGAAGGCCTGGGGACTAGATTTAACAAAGACAGCATGTTATCAGCTGAGGTGGAGGGCTCAGGAGTGGGAACAGAATTGACCACCTGTGGAGCTTCAGAGGGACGAGCCACGGAGGCCCACTTCCTCTTCTGGGGAGTGTTGGCAGCTGAAGCAGAGGGCTGGTGCTTCGGCTCTGAAGTTGGCACCTGGAAAAGCCCAGCAACACATGGGAGAACGTCAGGCACCAATAAACATTTTATTTAGCAACATACTTTTATCATCTCACAAGAGACAAATGCTTCATTTCAGCGTCTGTCACTTAACTTGGTCCATTGTATAGTTGTGACATCACAACTTTACAGAAGTCTTTAAGGACTTTTGATATTTTCACAGTATTTATGATATAAATCTTAATAAAGTAGATCATGTCAATCTGTCTTTTTACAATGTGGGACCTTTAAATTAAAAAACAATAAAAATGACTTAACAAGAAAGTTATTGTGATGTAAAAGAGCCCAAAAAGCAATATCCAAAATATAAAGTCAAATGTCTGACCTGGACATCCCTGCAGCACGGACACTGTCTGCAGGAGGCAGACTGCCTGGATCTTTCTGGCCTGCGTGCAGACACTCTGCGGTAGTTGTGGTCTCCCAGGTGGAACAGCACATCACAAGGCTACAAGACACACTCATGTTAGAATAAAGGAGCAACTAATACACCAAACAGCACTGAATGATACCAGGTTCAGTCAAAATTATCTGAAAAAAAAAAAAGTTTCAGAGTTTTTTGTTCCCTAAAATTTCCCCAGTAAAGGGTCAGATCAACCTGCCCAAGGGCCTCAGGCCATAATGTGCTGCTGGGCCCCTGTTAACCTTTGTTCCTCACACTCTGTGCTGAAATATCACCTGGCCTTAGATTTACTGTGGCAACCTGAATGAATATTTTCATATATGAAAATGCAACATGTAATAAGCCAAAAAGAATTAAATAATGAAGGTCATTAAATTTTGACACAGGGGCCCTCTTCAGGACAGGACAACAAGGTCGGGTAATAAAGCAGGACTCATTAAGGACCTTTAATGTTAGTTGGTATTGTGTTTCAGTTTCAGTGCTGCATATTACCACTACTACTACTACAAAAAATAAATAAACAAATAAATAAAACAATCTTTTTATTCTCACACACCACTAAGTTCACATATCTGCTGGGAATGGAATATTAAGTTCAAGTACTTCAGATCTGTACTCAAGGCTATATTTAGATACACAGTATCACTGTACATTTGTGATAGAAATGATTTTATGAGACACATAAAATGATTAAATTATTATAATCATTAAGGCAGATATTTTGATTTTCTATAGGTTTTTTTGGTATTCTTCAAATAAAGAGATGTTTTTATCCACCACAGTCTCCCCTGTAATTGATAAATGTTAATAAAAGTTACCTTGATGTACCATATGACCCCCAGAGTGGGGGAGTGTGCGAAAGTCAATTCAAACACCACTGAGTTTACAGCACTGAAATATTTTGGTAACACTTGTGTTGGATAGTCCACCTACAGATAGCTTATAGAGTATGTGTAACATTTCAACAGCTTATTAGTTAAGATTCAACAATTCAACATGTTTTGTTTGGCTTTTTATTCTGTAGATGTTTAACAGATTATCTGACATCACATGAACATACCTAAATTATATTCTCAGAATAATTTAGTCGAACTTGAACTATCCATTCAACCTATGCAGCACAGGTTAAGTAAATAGTTTAAGGTGAATGAAATTATTCCTACAATATATGGTAAACTGTCCCATATACTTTATAGATAAATATCGACTGACAAAGCCAAACAGCTGAGTTGTTCAGTCTCAACTTAGAAGCTGTTGAAATGTTACAGATACTGTATAATTTGTAGGTGAACTATCAAAATAAAGTGTCACAGTATTTTACTTTGACTTCGATGTATCTGAATTTATTTGTTCTGAATTCACCTCTTTGAAATTAAAATTTAAAATTTGTGAACACATAAAAAAATATACTGAAATTCAGGTTTTGAAATTGCAAATCAAGAGGTGAGTTCATATCAAATAAATTCAGATACATGTTTTTACGTTGTTGGTGTAAAAATATTCAAACGCTATGAATTCAGAAGCATTTAGATTTCAAAATCAGGTATTTAGTGGTAGTTAAAATGACAGTAGGCTATTTAATTTTGTGCTAATGGCAGTTAACAATGTGTCAGTGAACTGTGAGCGCTCTGAAAGCCTCCAGGGCAAAACACAGAAAAATCACAAGAGAGTCATAGTGTTCAAATCTTACAGTTTCCATGATGGAAGTCAGTTGCGTCGCTTTTCAGTGAGTCTGTGAGAGTCTTTTGTCCTTTTCAGGATGCAGGAAGTCCTCAGTACAAGCGATTAGTTTGGATGAAGGTGTCGAGTTGAACTTGTGTAAAACTTTCTGACCGCAGTCTGTTTGGTTTGTGTTTAAATGAAGATCTTTTCTAAGTGATGCACCTGGAGACAACCCATAGCAACCATGGAATCCTTCACGTCCATTTCATACACCTGCGTTTTTTACAGTCAGGTTTGTTTAATCAGTCTGCAAAACACCTGAGATACAGTCCATATCTATCTATGTAAACATGTAGCCTCCACATCTGACTTACTCTATTACACTTTAAAATGCCCATCATCATTCTTTTTTAATGTGATTGAGGCAGATTATGTAATGGGTTAAATTGCGAAGTTTTACCAAAGTCATCATTGTGCGTTAGTTGTTGTTTCACTGCGACCGTTTGTATTCATTATTTATTTTTACCAAAGTCATCATTGTGCGTTAGTTGTTGTTTCACTGCGACCGTTTGTATTCATTATTTATTTTCATTGTCTCTTTCAGTTTATAAATGTTTGTTGTTATTACACAGCAGCTGGGTCGATATGTGCGTCTCCACATTAAAGGAGGCGCTGTGCGCATTTTACGCACGTGGCGCAGCACCGCTAACTTCACTAATTAGACCTGTTCAAATTAACTAAAGGATGAGTGAGGGTCTGACGGTAACTGACTGATACACTCAGATTCCAGCTTTATTTAGTGAAAACATCTGGAACACAGCAGCCTTTCCTAAGATGAGTTTTTTGTTCCCTAAAGTTTCCCCTGTTAAAGGGTCAGATCAACCTGCCCGAGGGCCTCAGGCCAAAATGTGCTGCTGGGCCCCTGTTAACCTTTGTTCCTCACACTCTGTGCAGTGTGCACAGTTTCTCTGTGCTGAAATATCACCTGGCCTTAGATTTACTGTGGCAACCTGAATGAATATTTTCATATATGAAAATGCAACATGTAATAAGCCAAAAAGAATTAAATAATGAAGGTCATTAAATTTTAACACAGGGGCCCTCTTCAGGACAGGACAACAACTCACTGTCCCTTTGTTCCTCCATGCCAATGTCCATACATTTTTAAGTTTTTCTGCAAACAGTGTTAAATATTGAACTTGATGCTTTATAGTATCTATCTGACATTTTCTTGGGGTTCACATACTGCTACATATTGCTCACATACTGGCAGTTCATGGAGACGCAGGCTGGGTACCAGTACCAGTACAACGCCTGAAATGATGGAGCAGTTAAATTCTCGAAGGATAGAATATATATAAGGAAATGTTAAAGCTTTGCTGAATCTTTCAAAGGGCTTATATCAGTACAATAAATGAACAAATGTAATTAGAAATATAAATATATATATAAACAATTATTATAATGTGTCCTAGTTGAAAAGCATAAACCCTGCTGCCCTCTGCACTGCAGTTACCAGTCTTTAACAGCAGGAGTCAGTCTGACCCTCTCAGTCACTTGGTTAAAAGTTGATTTGCTTTGATGAGTCAGAAGCACCTTCCAATACACTGTGGGACAGTAGTGTCCATCAAGCACTCAGGTTTTTAGGTTGTTTCATTACTGCTTTGAATGTACTTTATTTTGTTGCTTTTCAGTGCGAACACAGTCCACGCTCAAAAACGGTCTGGAACTGATACACAGAAGAAACATTCTTTATTATCACAAGGCCCTTTGCGGGATCCTTTATAAATCTTTATAAATCTTTCTGAGACTTTTGCTCAGCCCGTTCTTATTTTCAAGTCATCAAATGCCGCCGCTTTGTCAGTGATCTGGGTGTTAATATCCACGCAAAAAGGCACCTTTGTACAATATGTACCGGGAGGTGGCAGTTGTTGATGCAGTGGCTAACAAGTCCTCAAATCCCAGTGCTATGTCAGTGGATGTCATTGTGTGCAAAGGCACCTTTCCTGGCATTATTACACCAGTGGCAGTTTGTAACACCTCCGGCAACTACTGCAGTATAATGATCAAGATAGTCCCCAAACACTGGACTTTTACCCAGGAGCCCACTGTTTGTTTCCTGTGTGAAACCAAAGGTCAGTGCAGTTATTTTGAAAACAGCACCAACAACAGTAAACCATGATGGTTTCTTTTTCTAAACCTAACCACATGTTTTTGTTGCAAGGAAATAAAGGTGAATACAAGGTGTTAAACCAGTGTTGTAAGTTTATTTTTAAAAGTCCACTGACCAAGTGGCAATGTGTGAAGAGTTATGAGTGAGAATGTGTTGATTACGGGGAATTGCGTTTTTCCATAGACAGCAAACATGATAGATGTAGCTACCATGACTTCACCCACTGGTTTGTGGACTCAAGCTCTGGAGCCTTGAGTTTGGCATTTCTGTTGTTGCCATCTTGTGCCAAGCGCACTATCAGCAGACAGTCTGTCACTCAAAGCGACCCACATGTACAGTTGTCATAAACGGGGAAAGTAGCTATAGAGACCAAAACAATTTTTGTACCAGGTTGTAAACATGTTTATTTCTGCTGTAAAGTTGGTCATTTTGACATAGGAGTCTGTGGGGATTGGCTCGCCTCTGGAGCCTGCGTCCAATGGCTGTTCAAAGAACTGCAGGTTTTAGCAAGGTTCATGTTGGCCTTATTTTTCCACCCTGGAGGTTGCTGCCACACACACACACACACACACACACACACACACGGATATATGCATATACACACTTAACATACATGCAGGTGTGCATGGAGACACTCATCCGTCATTCTGACAATTAAGTGCTGATCTCTCACACACACACACACACACACACACACACACTGTTGCTAATGTCCCTCCACTTAGACTGTATTTTCACAAGACCGTAATGGATGAATCCATCAGTGTTGAATATGTCTCACACCCTCACTTGGTCAAAAATGTGCCAGCCCTCTCACAGCAAGAGGAGCTCTAACACAGTCATCACTTTACATGATGAAATACATGGAAACAATCTCACACACACTGTCTGTTTTCTACTTTCTCATCTCATTATTTCACTCTTTCACTTTAATTTTTAATTTTAAAGAGGCAACACAAGTCAACTGTGAGATGTTAAAATCTACTCCGTAGGAAAATAAGTGGAAATATTTTTCCAACACAGAGACAAATGACATTTTCTTTCAAGATCCAAGTGCTAAGTAAGAGTAGGTGTTGACAGTGAGGCAAGTCCAGTCTGAGAACGTAATAGAAAGAACATATATTGAGTGTATGAGAGTGTGCACGAGTTAGCGTTGGCACATCTACCTGTAACCTAATCATGTGTCCAGAAATGTGTGTGTGAGCATGTG